AAACAGCCAGGAGAAACACAGCCGAGCAGATATAACTGGCAGGGGGGAAACACAGGTGGGAAGACGTTTTCAACTCATCCTTACAGCCCCTGCTCATTCATACTGTGCTCTAAGTTGCCCACTGAGCCACGCTGCCTAAGGAATCCAGAGCCCAATTCATGTTATGTCACTGTCACCACTGGCTGCATGAAAACAAACCCCAACCATAGCCCTAATTCAGATTCCCATCACTTACTGCAAGTTGAAGTTATTGAAGTCTTTCTGCATCACCCTTCCCCAATAGTTCCAGACAAGTTGGACTAAAGCTCCCATCATCCCCATCCAATGGCCAACACACCCAGAGCATGTCACCTTGCGGAAAGGTACCTCACTTTGGAATTGAAAGATTAGTGGAAATGCCTGAACTTGACTGCTGTCAACGTTCACATGAAAACACCTATATCTGAGATGCATTTTGTGAATCTTCAAAACTCAAAAGAGATTCATCAGTGAATACTGTTGTTGGCATCAATTAACACTCCTTAGTGCACACTCTAAAAGTGGGGCAAATATGCATTTACTTGCGAGTGCATGCCAAATTATCGTTACTTTCTGTGCTGACTAACAGCCATTGTAATTGCAGTTATGGTTTTGTTCCTTAAATTACTGTTTGTGTATATGCTTTTTAACCTTTGTTTAATTTCAACCTGTTAACTGTCCAGAGAGCCTTGGCTATTGAGTGGTATAGAAATGAATTAAATTACTTCATGTAGAATTATTGGTCCTCACAGGTGACCAACCCACCTGGGCAAAAGGAGGAGGAAGAGGTGCAGATGCCATGACTCATTTGCTCTCTGGTTCTCTGCCTGTCATGCAAGCAAACAGGAGCAATGACAAGGAAGAGGGAGAGAAGGACCAGCTGGACACAACGGGGATGAAAAGGAAGTTTCACTAAGGAGGGGGCCCACTGAGGGTGCCTTGCCCAACGACCCGCCAACACCTGGGCCCAGTCAGTGGTGTTTTGAGCTGCCACTGGAATTTACCACAATGCCTCAGAGCAACAGGACATCAAAGCATTGTGGGAAATTAAAGTGATGGCTCCGGCCCTGCTGTCCATCACCACCAGGTAAGCATGCCAGATTCCATCACCTTAAGGGCATCAGAGGATCCTCCTCAACTTGGAGATGACCAATCATGCTTCAGTAACACATACAAAAACCATATGAAACTACAAATGCTGAAACAGGCTCACTTCTTAATACACTAGAGTTATCGGTGTAGGGCAATAATCCAGACCCACTGTTGAGAACTAGGGTTCCTCCTTTCACACATTCAAAGCCACTCCCCTTTCTTGCAAAACCTTTATTGACCAAAGCATTTTCCAGAAGTACAAACACCTAGAAGGGATCCCTGAGCATGCAGAGTGGTTCACTGAATCCAGTGGTTCAGAGTGGTTCACTGAATCCAATCTAACTTTACTTCTAGGAACTCTCCTTATATGTTTGGGCCCCGACCTTTTGGGAGGAGACTTCCGGAAATGAGCACACTCCTCTCCGCCAGTCGTCTAATTGGGCCACCTTCCTCTCCTGACATCACATTATGGGGTTGAGAGCTGTACCGACCTCATCTGTCTTGGAGACACTCCCCTGTTCCAGGCCTCCTCCCAATAACCATACACCTTGGTCATTCCTGGAGGCTGCCTGCACACCTGGGGAGCCTGGCCTTGAGATAAGTGCCTCTGATTCTCTCATCTCAACGTCAGGAATTGGCCCATGTTCCAAGGTCACCTCCAGCTCTTCCTCCTCTCAATCCCAATCAGCAGGCCTTGGGAATGCGTACCAAGAGCAACTGCCTTTCTCACTCCCAACACCCATTCTAAAGGAGTATCTTTACTGCATCCTTTTTCCATCCCCTGAACAATCAGCCCACAACATCACTGGAACACCAGTGTGTAGTGTGTTGCCATCATGCACCTTGTTTACAAAATGAATCAGAGCAGCACGTGCTTTTGCTAGGGCAAGAAAATGTCACTGGCCTGTTTTAATGATGCTGTAAGCTTCCCTCTTGCATATTCAAAATCACTAGCTCAGTTTAGAAGCATGAGATCAGGAAAAAGCATATACAGCAAGGCAGGTAAAGAATTCACGCATGCACCTCTTTAGCCAGTCTAAATTACAGTCTATTAAAATGCGCTGAAGTCAACAAAAAAGAGAGTCATTCTTCCAGACGAAGATGTTACTTTATGGAGCAATGAAACAAGAACTTCCAACTGAAGAATAATAGCTTCTTTTCTATGTTAATTGTGCCATGGGATAACTTCCTTGAATTAAGGAATGCAATGGCTTGTCTTACAGGTAACTACAGCCCATGAAATGGTCCAGATGAACCCAGTAAGCTACATGCTCACATGTATTCATCCACATCCATAAATCTGGATTTCCAAGTAAGAATGGGAACACCACAATTTGGAGGGCGCAAAGACTTGAAACACCTGATTTTACACAGGAGGAAACCTGTTCACATCCACTTGGCTGTCTTTGGTTTCAGCTGCCCAGGAAAAGTAAAGCCAGTTCAAGCTAATTTTAGAAAGAGAATTTGCACCTTTGTCCCTACAACCCTATGCCACTTGGATATAGCAATGTGCTGAATCCTGGGGGTGGGGAGGAGTGTCAGGAAATCCCAGCTGGCAGTTGTACATTGTCCCCTCCCAAAATACAAACACTTCTGTGTTGCTAAATGCAGCAGCTCCTGATCTTCACTCACACACACACAGACCCCTCCAAGAAGCCTGGAAGCAGTTCTGCCCCTAGAAAACAGGGTAGGAGCTTCTGTCCAGCTTTGAGAAGAGTGTCTGAATGGTTTCTAGCATGCTGGTGTTTCCAGCAAAAAGTGCACTCGCAGGCAGTCGTCATGTGCAAAGCCCTCCATGTAGATGTGCACGCCATTTTCAGCAGAAAAGAAGGATTTTCCACCAAAGACTCTCTCATCTAACACTTTAATCACTGCACTGGACTGAAAGCTCGGAAGACTCAGGTTCGAATCCCCACCCCACCATGAAGGGCAACTGGGTGACTTTGGGCCAGTCACTGCCTCTCCACCTAAGCTACCTCACAGGGTTGTTGTGAAAATGAAGAGGAGGCGCATGCAATGTAGCAGCAGCAAGCACTGCAGAAGAGGCAGCGGAAGAAAATAACTTGGACAAAGAGGACAGGGGGAGTTTAAAGAAGTCTAGGACAAGCAGGCGGGAAAGGCATTCCAGGATATATATCTGAAAAGTCACTAGCTTCAGCTGCTCCCAGACCATGAGAGATGAGCCACACTGGTCCCGGCACCGGTAAGCTCAAGACTGTAATAGCAACATGCCCTGCGTGGGACTATCTTTGGGCTTGGTCCGGAAGTTGCAGCTGGTGTGCCCTCGACCAGCAGCACACAGCGGAGTTTGCAGTTTTACGATAAATTCATTCTGCCTCATATGCATTTATCATTACAGTTTATCACAGTTGTCATGCCACTGCATTTTATGCTCACCTGTGTGGAAAGCAGAATATAAATTCAGAAAAATGAACCAACAGTATGGAATAAGTCAGGGGAGGGCACCATAAGCCCAATAACATGTTAATGACCTACCAAAACAAAGCAAGTTCACAGTCCTACGGCACAAAAAAACACTGATCATGACCACTCCCCTGAGGTTTGTTCATTGGCACCGGTAGTAGATAATTTTCTTTAGGAAATCTTTTTGTTGCTGCTTTTGGTAAATAATTAAGAGTCAGAAATCCTTGGTGATCTACTGTGAATCAGCCAGAGATCAATCTGTGGATCCTGATCTACTTTCTGTCTCCTGCAACAGAAGCGTTTCTGTCTGAACAGCCTCTACCTTGTGGCAACCACGAGATCTAACAGGGGGCCCTATTCCACTGGGGCAGCCTAGATGCTGGCACCAGGGGAAGGGGCCACGCTAAGGAGTGGGGGACACTTCTGGCATCCAGGGAGAGGCTAAAAGGTCCTATTTGCAACCTTGCAAAAGTTCCAAAGCTGGTGGTCTGTGTGGGTGATGAGAGGTGCAAGAAAGGAGTGATTTGAGAGTGGCATTAAGGACCAAATGAGAAGTTGGGATATAATGTATGGTGGCCGGAGGCATGTGGGCTGAGAATGATGGATATTGAAGTCCAGCACATCTAGAGAGTACCAAGTTTGGGGTGGCTGGTTCAGGGCTCAGGAAGCTATAAAAAGGAAGGGTTTCTAGGACGGAATCCTATTGATTCTGATAGGGTACAGCAGGTTGAAGAATTCTCCTCTAAGGTCCCGAGGAGTGGAGAGGCTCCCAAAGAGCAGGGAAGCACAAAATCCAGGGGTAAAGTGGCAGACTCCTGTGGGAAGGCTATAGTTGGAGAGAACTAACCAGGCACAGCATGCAGAGTTTTGGAGAGGAAGCACCGCAAAGGCTGAGGACTCAGAACATTCCCCGTGGGTGGGGAGGTAGGATCCATGCGGCAGGCAGAGAAAAGAGACCTGCCCAGGCCCAGTAGGCAGGATGAGGACCCCAGTGGTAGCACCCCCAAAACTTGGAGAACAACGAGAAGTCATCCTACGGCCCTGTGTACAGACTCCAAGGGGTACAGCCTAGAGGCTGGGCAGCGATGGAGGCCCTGGTGGGGAGAGGCAGCCTGTGAAGCAGAAACACCGAGCGATGGGACGAAAACATCCTCTTGGGTTCTGGCTACCGTTGGGAGCCGGAGGGGATCCTCAAAGGGGGCAGCGTGGCTGCTTCTCTAGTCCTGGGGGGCAAGAGCACCCCCCGGGGCTGGGGGAGCGCCGGCAGCATCCCTCGCGGGCTGCGGGGGCAGCCTGTGGGAAGGGGGCGCCGGCGGGGGGGGGCGCATGCCAAGCGGCGCGGGGCACCCCGCAAGGCCGCGCGGGCGATCGGGGAGCAGCCTGCGGAGGCCGGATCGGGTCTTTCTGGCCGGGGAGGGCGGCTTCCAAGCTGCGAGCCGGCCAGCAGGCGAGCGGTAGCCACTTACGGGCGAGTCGTAGGAGAAGGCACACTCGGTCTTGTAGACGCGGTCGCCGGTCTTGGGCACCCGGATGGTGGGCATGTAAGGGACCAGGAGCTCGCCCACGTCTCCCGCGTCCATCGGCGCCGGCCGGCCGTTCCCGAACAGCGCGGCCCGCTCCATGCTGCGCTCCGCGCCTCGGGCCGGTCGGGCAGAGCGGCGGCGGCGGCGCTCTCGGCCCCCCGGCGGGCTCGCGGGGAGGGACGGTGGGCGGGCGGGCGAGGGAGCTCCGCCGAGCCGGCCCGCCTGAGGGGAGGAGAGATGCTATTTTTACTCCAATGGCGGCCGGCCCGCACCGGCGGCGGCGGCGGCAGCAGCTGCTAAGAAAAAGAGCCCCCGCCCCAGGGATCTCTTCCCCGAGAAGTGCCGGGGCTCAGCGCCATGCGCCCAGGCATTTGTTGGGAATTCCGCCTCCCGAATCCGAAAGAGGACGGGCCTTTCTGCCCATGCTCAGAGACACCTGCCTTTTTTCAAGGCGTGCTGCATCTTTCCATGCTCCACCATGGCGGGTTGAAAGCGCGGTCAGGGATGCGGGTGGGAGGGGAGAGAGGGGAAAGGGATCCAAGATGGGAGCTCGCGGGGCCAAAGGGGACGGCCGCGGTTAGGGCGGTGGGCTTTGGAGAAGGAGGGTTCCAGGGTTGGGGAAGGAGTTGGTGAAAGACGACGAGGGCGAATAGGTTGTCGGAATCGGGTCTCCCGACAAGGGGGAGGAAGGATAAGGGAAAGATGAAGCCAGAGTCCAACGCTTTGATAAGAGAAATGGTGGTTGGGGCCGTTTTTCCGATGTTTATTTTTTAAAGTCTTAGTCAGATTTTAGGATCCAACACAGTAAGACTTGCAGTAATGTCACTCCTAGACATCCTAGTCATCAATAGCAAGCCTAATTATGGGACCTTTTGTCAAGCTTTTGTTGTAAGCCACCCCGAGGCTTCGGCGAATGGGGTGGCATAAAAATGTTTTAATAAATAAAAATAAATAAAAGCTGTAGGAAATAATACACACATGCACACAGTGTGGCAACCAAAAATTAAAGCTAGCACACTCATCTGGAAGAAAATCCCACTGCACTCAATTACTTCTGCATCCCCAAATACTTCTGAATTCAATTACTTCTGAGTAGACATGCCTAGGATTTCACTGCTAATGCAGCTTTTTATTTATTATTTTTATACCATGTGTTGTGCGTCTCATCACTTTGAAGTACTGCATATGTGTTTGCTTGACTTGTACCCAAGGGAGTGTCCATGGTCTTTCTCCCCTCCTTTTTATCCTCATAACAACCCTGTGAAGTGGTCTTTGACTGACTCAAAATCAGCCAGTGGGCTTCTTAGCATGTGCAGACTAGAACCTCAATCTTAGGTCCCAGTCGAACCTTTTTAAGTGTTATACCATACTGGCTCTTATCCAGCACTGTTCAGTCAATGCTGGTTAATTCTTCACCAATTATCATTACTATTATTACTTTTATTTCTTTACTTCCTAATAGCTGAAACTCTCTGGGCAGTTTACAGCAAGAACAATATGTAAACTGTTTCCCTGAAAAAGCATTGTACTTTTCAGCAAACATCCCAGGAGACAGAACTGGAAAGTTTCTATGTATGCAATGCATCCTACGAAGCTGGTTTCTTGAGCAGGAGATTCCTGTGGTCCTTTTTCAACAGGAATATTCATTTTGCATGAGGAACACAAGAAATCCCCGATGAATCAGAATAAAGGCCTCTCCAGTCCAGTACACTGTTTACCCAATGGCTAACTGGGTGCCTTGTTAGGAATTGGGTAGCTAGTATATACCACATACTGGAGAACAAGAGCAAATCACCAGCAACTAGGGGGTTTACTCTGCTGTAGTGAATAGCTGCTCTCATCACATACTCTACTACACTACTGTGTCCCCAGACAGGCAATTCAGGCACCCAACACAAAATGTATCTTCAGGTAATTTCAAGGCAAAACTGCCTGGTCCTTTTGCAGCTGACACACACAAGTCTCCACTGCAGAGCAGCTGGGACCAACCTCAAGAATTTTCAAAGGAAGAAAATGGTGGCCAATAGGTTACCTGTAATTGCAAGCATGTTTTTGTGTTCCTTGATTGCCCAGGTCTTGGGAGTTCATCTGGAGCAGCAAGTATAGCACACACTGTATGCCTGCAGGTAATCATTTTAGTGCATCTGGACCTGTTCAGTAAAACTCCTTCCCACTTCAATTATATAGGTGACAAAGTTAACCTGAATCAGCACTGTACACAACGGGGCAGGTCATTGCAATAGGTTCCCAGACAGATTTGTTTAGTCGCATAGTTGTGCCCAACCCATCACGACCCCATGGACAACATTCCTCCAGGCTCTCCTGTCCACCATCCCTTGGAGTCCACCCAAGCCCACACCCACTGCCCCAGTGACTCCATCTAGCCATCTCATCCTGTGCTGTCCCATTCTTTCGCTGTCAATCATTCCCAGCATCAGGGTTCTCAGATAGATACTAATCTACTAATGAGACTTAAACAAGGACAGGATCAGTGCAGCATTTTTCCTCTGCATATATGTATATTATGTTTATTTTATTTACATCTCAGTATCTTGCAAGTGTTGTTCTTACTGGTTTTCACAGTGCTTGAAGATGCATCCTAGAAGAACCAAACAAGCCCACAGATTCACAGCTATATATGATGCAACCAAAATATGTGTGCATTTCAGAGTATTTAAAGGATTTATATTTGCATTTACCATTTGAACTTACAAGAACTGCAACTAGGTAACTTTAGAACCCAGAATGTAAATATCTTAAAGGGGCAGGAGAAGTTTTAGATGGCCAAGCACAAAACTAACATAAATCTCCTCCTGTCTCCTTTGCATATTCAACACATTCAATTCATGGCACCCTAAGAAAGGGAGCAATGCTAGATCAGATGAAGGTTCCATCTAGTCCAGCAATTTGTTCTTACCATGGCTAACCAGTGGTCCCTGAGAAGCCCGGAAGCAGGACATGAATAAGACAGCACCCTCCCATCCAAGTTCTCCAGCAAACAGTGGACATTGGCCTCTGATGCTGAATGCCTGTATTGGTACAAGAGTAAATTTAGTTTGCTCCTGATGCTGAGATTTTCTTGGGAATGAACAACATTTTGTTGTGGGGAAGGATACTATATTTTCAGAAGTTAGCCAGGTGAGCATCCATAACCATACACATGCTCAGCCTGCTGCCTCCTAATCCTAAAATGTTGAAGAAAAGATGCTGCAACAAGATACATCAACCCCAGAGGGCTGCTGGCCCAGATGCTGATACCACATCTGTTGCCCACTGCGTGGTCATTCAGTGGGATCCTTGAACAGTACGGACCTGTGCTTTGGCCCTGAAGTCCAGCACAGCCGCTGCCAGTGCAGCAGGCTAGGGCAGGAGATAACATTTGCCCAGGGTCACCTGGCTAGGTAAACACCTGAACCTAGGTTCCCGGGACAAAACCAAACGCTGTACACACCACACAGGCTTTCCATCTATCTCTGCTCCTTTGACTGGAGTATATTGTTTTCACATATGATTATCTACACAAGCGGAAGGATAGGTGTAGAAAAGTGGCAACAAAAGCCAAGGTACAGGTAATTAGGGAGAAACAACTGCAGCAGAATTTGGAGGAGAGATGCTAAAGGGAGAGATGCCACAACTGGGGGAGCTGGCATCAGAGCTGGCACTCAGCCACATGAAGACAGTCACATGTAGCTCTTGGAATCAGGCACTCTGGCCACTTTTGCAAGGTAGGGATAGTCAGACAAGAAATTCGAGCAATTGCCCAGGCTCTGAGCTTCAATTGGAAGCTTCTCTCCTTGTTTTCTACAAAAAGTGGTGTGTGGAGAGGGGTTGTTTTGTTTTCCTCAAATGGGTAAAGTGTATATTACAAATGGGGATTTTTTTTAAAAAAGCATTAAAATGCATATTTCCTCCATAATGTATGAAAATGTGCATTTTTAAATCTTTTAATGAATGTACGTCTTAGTGTGAATGCAAGCTCAGAAATTTGTGAGCATTTTTGGAGGATGTGTTTGTCTTCTTGAACTCAAGTAATTTTCAAATATAAAATTATCAATTCTACTGCAAAATCCTGAGGATGTGCTGCCCTCTAGTGGTTCTATCCATGGCTTTAAATGTGCCAGTTATGACAACCGCTAAATTCTAAACACAGAAGCAAGCAAAAAGTGTGATGTGGAGTCAGTCTGCACATTACACGGAATGAAGCAGAATTCTTGACTGTAGAACTGTGGATTTATTTTTGAATGCTGCCCCTCACTAAAAATAAAAACAAAAACCCTGAAACCTTCTTGAAAATAGTAAACTAACACAGTAAAGGATTTAATGTAGACTTCTTTGCACTTATATTCCGTGCAGCCAGGTTATATCCAGTCATATAGCACAGCATTCACATAATTGCATATTATGTGCTCTCTGGAGAGGTGCGCCTGGCGCCGAGCCTATATTCTTTTTGGCGCCAGGTTACAACCATTTTATTTAACTGTTATTTTAAAAACTAATTTAAAATTTTAATGTTTAATCATTGCTTTTATTTAACTAACTTACTTGTATTTTTTCCTGGTAATTTGTTATTTAGTACTGTTTCATTGTGTTGTTTTAATGATTGTAAGCCATGAGATGCCATGCATAAGGGACAGCATACAAAAGTTTTAAATAAATCAAGCAAGCAAGCAAGCATCCCCATGCCCGCAATGTACAATTTAGGACATTTAGGAATTCTACTGCATCAATCTGATATTCAGGACTGACTGTGGTAGCTTATTTAGTCAAAACACTCACAAAGAGATAGAAAAGTACAAAAAAAGTTCTTTAGAAAAGCCGTAAGGGGGCCTTCTTCCCCACCAAAAAGCCTCCAATGAGTGGATATAACATGGTGATGGACTGGAGGTGGGTAGAATGGAGAGTGGATTGGCGTAGCTGGAATCCTGAATGGGGAGCCCTCCCTGATGCCACACTTTGTCACAGGTCCCACTTGTATAAACCAGGGCTTTTTTTGTCATAGAATGCACTGGAACGGCATTCCGGCACCTTTTTTCCAATTGATTTTACGAAGTGATTTTGAATCGTAGCAGATCAGCAGCAAACATCATTAACATAGTGCCTGCAAGCTGCTTTTGTGTCTGCTATCTGATAGTGAGATAATGAGGGTGCTGCTCGGCTTGGGATTGGTGTGTGTGGTCGCGCACTTACTGCCGACAAAAAAAGAACTGGTATAAACTAACAGTAAACTCAGGTGCTGAGTTATGACAGCTGATTAGCTAAATTGGAGGTACCATTTTGAACCATTTCCAGATGGTAAAACGTTACATATATACATATTAAGGTTTTCCAGCCACATTTCAATGTCTCCCCATAATACTTTTTTTTTAAGGCTAGGACTTGTACCAAACCAATTGCAGTTGTAATCTTATATCCACTTATCTGGGTGTAAGCCCCATGCACAGTAAGGGGGTTTACTTTTCTTAAAGTAGGCATGCACCCAATTGTACCAAAAATTGAGAAGCATATGAACTGGAAGGTTACAGATCTGGAATTTTTATTTATCAGAGAGATACATATACGCATATTTTACATAATCCAGCAGTGCTCACTTGCTACAGTAGCATCACAAACCTAGTTGTCAGGTGTTGATTTAGGAGAATTATCAATAAGGCTCACGCTTGTGGTTGGCCAGAAGTACCACGGCCCATCCCCCTTATCGCGCATCAGTCGACGTACTTCCTTCTCTTGCTTCCTGGAAAAGGAAATGAGAAGTCAGGAGAAGGAGGAGGAGAAACAGGATCTCAAGCAAGGATTGCACAGTGTTCTTCACAGCTGAAGAGAACCAGCCTGGCTACATTTCAAACAGCAGACTAAGTGCTTGATGGACCAGCTGATAAGCTGAGAGTGAGGCCCATCTGAACTTAGCACGTTGTGCTCATACTTCCAATAGTCCAAATTCAGTTTAGGCCAGGTCACGATACCAAAGTCCTCACCACAGGCCCCATAGATGTAGGTGGGCTACTCCAGGGGTTCCGGGGGCTGTTACTGCCCCCACTCATGGCCACACTCATGCCACCTCCACTGACACCTCCCCCCAAAAAACTATTGAAGTTTGAATCAGGGGGAGATCGGCAGAAGTGCATTCCTAAAGCCATCTTGGCCTAAGCCAGGTTTTCCCAATCCAAAGCTTTTCAGATGTTTTGGACTACTATTCCCATCAGTTTGCTGAGGTTGAGGAAAGCTGGCCATGGGAAACTGAAATTCATACTCAGTCTACAGTGACTCCAGACACAGAGACCAGCCTCAAAGCACAGAGCCAAGCCAAACCAACGTTAGCACTTCCAGCTTCCATATGGCCCAAGTGACAAACCAAACTCAGTTTGGGCGAAAGCAGGCACATGTTACAGAATATGAGAACGCACGGATATGACTCTGAAGGTTCACAGGCTGCTTTTAACCTGAGCAAGTTGTTCAAAGAGGAGCACTCCGAGCAAGTGAGGAAAGTCCAAATTCAGAGATTTTCTATAGGTTATATTAGTCAAGCATCGGTTGAGAGGGCTTTAGCTACGACAGGACTGTGCTATCTCAGAGCAGGGGACTAGACCTGATGATCTGTCAGATATCACGTCAACCCTAGAATCTGAAAGTAGTTTGCAGTCAATGGCTGCACATCTAAAGGATAATTAAAATGGAATAGGTGGAATATGCTTCTGGAATATATGATAGCAGTGTGACTGTTTAAAACTGTATTAAAAGACCAGAAGAAAACAAAACACTCATTATTTGGAAGCCAAAGGCCAAGATGGGGATGAAAACCAAAATGTTTCTAATTAACTGTAACAAATCTATTTTTCAAGAATGACTGTAAATTCTCCTACCTTAATATAATTTTTTCTTGTTCCATATGCAGAAATGCCATCATCTTTTCATAGTCCTTTTGAGGTGGGTCAAAGATGTAGCGTGCAATCCACCTGCTTATAGGATGCTGGAGAAGGAAAAAAGCAAGGTGTTACTAAGGAACGGCTGTGTTGCACTTGTAGCAGGACACTTGGGAGTGGAGTACTGGGCTCACACAACTGCACGAAACCTTGCATCTGCTCAGGGAATGAAATGGTCAGAGTGAAAAGCTTCCTGGCCAGATTCAGGCAGAAGAGAAGAAACAGTGAAGTCTCCAGTCCGGGTAGGATTAACATGCCTTCCCTACCCTCCCAAACTGCCCCAGCCAGACAAGCCAAAAAGCCGGTTTAGCAAAACTACAGGACAGCAGGACAAGGAGGTAAAGATTCACCTGATGACTGTAGGCATTCGCATTTAGTCCTCTGAGACTATTAGTGTGGAATACTAGTTAAATACACAAATAAATTTAGGGGCTTGGAGGTATCACAACACTTCCATTACATTACACTTCCAGTTGCTCAGTCTCCCACTCAGTTAAAATTCTGAGCACTCTCTCCACGAGACTGATTAACAATAATCTGTATTTATTCCCTGAGCCATATACTCACCTTATAGTATTCCCAGGGCTCTGGTTCATAATCTTCTGGTATTTCAGCCAGTTCGGCTTCACCTGGTGGAAGGCAAAGAAGTGAAATTGAAGTGCCACAGAACTCTAATACTGTATTTTTGAAAAGAACCAAATCTCAGCTTATGTTCATAGTCACAACATGTTATTTTCAAGTGATGCCCCATCCAATGCAAGTTTACTCAGCAGTAGATCCTGCCATGTTCAATGTGATTGACATGCAACCAATGCCTGCACAGCACAGCAAGGTCCTTTAAAAATAAGCAGGAAATGCCAGAAATCAAGCACACCTTCTACTTCATATAACACAGAACAAATTTGCAATTTTGCAGTTTCATTGAAATAGGCCCAGTTTTTCTTGTTTGGACATGCTCTTCACTTTCTCTCTCTACTCTCTAGTAGCTGCTTTATTATCCTGGACCAGCAAACAAAACTAAATTCAAAATAGCTTTTCAAAAGAGATGCCATTACTTGTTTATTTTATTTCTACATTTCTATGCCGCCCCATTCGCCGAAGCCTCGGGGCGGCTCACAACATTAAGTTAAAATACAAACATTAAGTTAAAACATTAACTTAACATAACATTAAGTTAAAATGTTTGTAAAATACAAACATTAAGTTAAAATACAAAAAATAACAATATAAAATAAGTTGCCCTGGCCAGAAAAAATCAAATAATATTAACAATTAAAATGACGCTTAAATAAAAGGGTCTTCGCCTGGCACCGAAAAACAAATAAAGACGGCACCAGGCGGATGATCTTTACTTGAAGAATTCTTAATACTTCAAAACATGTAGATCCCAACCTGCAAAAATACTCACCAATAAAGACATTAACACATGTTATAAGTACGGCTACCGGGATTCCAGTTAGCAAAATATAGAACCTCTGTTTAAGAAAGTAAAAGGGGGAGAAATCAAGACTGTGATGTGGCAAAATACATAGTACCTTATTATCAAGTCCCCAAAATGTTAGAACTTTTCCTTATATGAATATTACAATCTGGACTATGATGAGTTTCCCCACTCCTGGGCAGACTCCAAAAGCCCTGAATTTTCAGATAATACTGCTGGAACTGTTGAATTAGATGTGTGGAAAAAAGAGCAGTATAAATTACTCTCTCCAAAAGATCTTTTGACCTGTCTATTGCAAGCCAAGCATTCAAAGAAGCAGTAAAGTACCCATAGAAACATATAGTTTGAAAAAGCAAATTCCATCTATTGTTTTTGCTGAAACAAGACCAACTACTGAAAAGACAAGCATCTTTTTTATAATGAACAGTGGCTCTTTCCCTTGTTCAATAAAAAGCTGCCACAAAAAGAACCTTCAGAGGTGTCTTTGCCACAAACACATTTGAAGGGGTCTTTTTTGTTTGTTTCTTTGTTTGGATCCCAGGCTAGATGTTTTAACCCTGATCCTATTGTTCTGCTGGTGGAATTCACAAATGGTAGCCTTGCATTGCTGCTGGACACAAAGCCAATTCAGCCATAAACAAGAAATACCATCCTAATCCTGTGCTCTGACCCCAGCGTAACAAACTCACGTTGAGCTAAGGACCTCATGCTGAATATGCAGCATCTAATGAGCGTGATCAGATTTAGGAAACGTCACGGCAACATCCTCTAACCTGCTGCCCAAGGAAGTGATGGACCACAACTTCAGGTGTGGGAGTTGTAGGCCAACACTTCTGAAGGGCACCAGGATGGGTAGGGTGCCTTATATGTGCAGACTGTTAGATATAGTCAAGATGTCTTGCACAATCTTGGGGCCTGGTACAATTCATCCCACCCTCCCAAGAGAATGTAAACTTACCAGCAAGCTCAGAAATCGATTCTCATAAAAGCGGCTTGGCCTGATGATAAACATCGGCTTCCCACCACTGCCATGGCGTACTGGAGCTGCAAAGTTAAGGCAATATTTTGCTACAAACCTCTTTTTGCAACCCATTTAGCAAATGCTCTGTGACTGAATTCTCATTTATCTTTACAGCATCTCCATGCAGCCTTTTCACAAATGGGAAAGTGATACTGAGAGATAGCAACCTCTCTGGCAAAGGCAGTTTCCTTAATTTTTTTTTTTTTATGATCAACACCACAATCCATTACATTTAAGATCACAGAGCATCCAGGAACTCAGAGCATTCTGTGAAAAATGGCTATAGCTTAGTGGCTTGGATATAGAAGGTTACAGGATCAATTTCCTGGCAGGGCTGGCAAAGCAAACAAGCTGCTGTGGCAGCAATGAGGAAAGGGGACTGCAAACATCACTGAAATCCAGGTATTCTGCCCTGTGGACCTTCCTCTGAAAGCTAGAGATCGGTACTGACCTGCAAGGTTACTCAATATTATGGAAATCCCTTCCTTACAATTGTTCTGTGCAATCTAAGGCTAAGCACTTGGCACTAAAGACAAATCCTAGCTGACACACACTGTTATCAGTGCCAGGCAGGCTGAAATAAATAGTCATGAGAGTGCAGCCAGGCACGTTTTGCCATATTTATTAGCTGAACATAACCTGTCTTTCCAAACAGTTGTCCAAAGGTTCATGCAACAGCTCAAAACCATACAGTTATCCATAAAACCACCAAAATCACATCCAGTAAAAACAATTATAACCAGTCCAATTCAGAAAGATATATTTTTTAAAGCTCAAGCTTATGCATGTTTAGACATACGAAGCTCCTGCAAAGTTCAACATTCCCAATGGTGCTGAAACTTGTAGGACTTTTGTCTAAAGATGCATAGAATGACAGTCTTACTCTACAACACAGTGCACCTTAATCAGTAATCAGCTAAAAACAGCGTAGTGGGAACAATTCAACCTTTAATTCAACTGAAAATGGTTTAGTAAAAAATCCAAGCCCTAAAGCCTTCCATTGTGAGAAGCCATTTGTGGATTAAAGGCTGTCTCACCATCCCAGTTCAACTTAGCCATCAGCTCCTAGTTTCCTCTCTAATCAGCCACACTGCGTGCCTTCCAAATGTTAGACTTTGTCAGAATGATGGGAGTTGCAGTCCAACACATTTATAGGGCACCAAGTCAGGCTACTAGCTTGACTAAATCTAGTACATCCCTTGCTTTTCATTACTGCATAGCAGTATCCTAAAGCAACAGCCCTGAAATAAGACACAGTTTGCAAGAGCGATGCATCATGCATCCAACTGCACTGCAAGTCCTCAGCTCCTGCAGTAAAGAGGGTGGCCACCTCTTGTTGCCACCAGGCTCCAGTGCTTTTTCTTCATCACAGCTGCATAGCAAGCAGAAATCCAGCAGATGCTCTTCCAGGCATGGAGAGGAGTCAAAGAGGGCCCCCACTCCGTGTTCAATCCCTGCTTTTCATGCAGAAGAGCCTGGCTTCAACTCCTGGTACCTCCAGGAAGAGCAAGAAAAACTCACGCCTGAAACCTTGGAAAGCCATTGGTGCCAATAAGCGCCAACAATACTGGGCTAGACGGACCAAGTCTGGTTTCCTGTATCCCTGCTGCGATGTCAAGTTACCTGGGGATCGGTTAACCTTATTCTTTTAATCACCCCGCCGGATTCACAGTATTGACTATCAAGCAGCGGGGAAAGGCTGTTGGTGGGCATCTTGAACATGGAACAGGACATTCGTTGTCCCACATTAATTAATTACCGTGCAGTGCGAGGTAGATTTGGGTCACAGCGTTTCATGCCTGGGCCATGGGGAGGGGCAACTGGTGGGTGCCAGCACAGGGCAGAGCATTTTACTCTTCGGAGGGACCGTAACTCCGTCGCAGAGCACGTGCTTTGCATGGAGCCGGTCCGAGGTTTGATCCCCGCCATCTCCGGGTGAGGCTGAAAAGAATCCTGCCTGACACCTTGGAGAGGCAGAATTAGCAGTACGGCGTGAGATGGGCCCGGAGTCAAGCATGGTATAAGGCAGCTCCCGATGTTCCTGTGGGCGCTTCACCTGCCGAACTTCCGCCTGTGCCAATAAGAAAAGCAGCCCTGTCTGGTCGCGCTCAAGGTCAACCGGTGCGGAAACCGCGAGGCTTGTCCTCACCAACCCCCGCGCCGTCCCGCAGGCCCCTACCGATGGCTCCAGAGCGGCCGGCGGCCCGCTGCAACAGCGGGAAGCAGCCCCCGAGCGTGGGACCCGACAAGGTCCGCCGCGTCCCCAGAGCGGCGGCTGCCCGAAGCAGGACGCTCATGGCCGCCATGTCCGAGGCTGGAAAGCTCCTGCGGCAGAACGTCGCAAAGAGTACGACTAAAGCCGCGTCCCCGCCATCTTTGCAATGGGCACTGCTTTCCTAATGCAGCCGGGCACCGAGTCTACAGGCAGGAGTTCTAGTCTAGACTACACCCCGTAGGAGCAGTTTCCGGGTTTCGATTTATGTTCTCCCCTTTGAGGAAAAATTGGAGATGCTCATAGAAATGAAAGGAGAAATGCAAGGTTTTAAGCATAGACTTATACTTCTAATTGACAATATTAATAGTGGATTGCATTGCACGGCTGTTTTCAGGCCCCTCTGCAGCCACAATTCCTCACGCCCACCTGTTGATGTGAAGATATTGAATCGGATCTGCACTGGACTTCGTGTTGGTAAGGTGTCTTCTGAACGTGTGAAATCTTGGCAAAATACTTTTCTTTTTCTTCCCTTTTTTTTGATAAGTTTTATTCTTAATATTCTTAATAAACCTAACCCCCCCCCCCAAAAAAACAACATGAATCATCAAGAACATCGGATCTGCTGCGTCAGCCCCCAACATTTTTTCCTTTTTATGTTAGGCTATAAACATATTTGAATCTATGCATAGTCCCGTTTCTCTAGCCAATAATAAAAAGAGTCCCAGGTTTGACAGAAGTCTTTATCTTCTTTTTCCTTCGGAGACAACGAAAAATACATTTTCTATTCTACTTTGGGGCAGAAAAGGCGGAAGCACCAACTGTTTTATTACGGTAAAATCCGCGTTCTTCACTTATTTGTTTCACTGTTGGTGCCACTGCTTCTCGTTTCTCTTCTTCTGGAGATTAGGCATCATCATGGTACTACAAGCGGAGATTTTAAAAAGCCCTTCGGGTATATAGCATTTTCTGCATCCCGACAAGATGGGCTATTCTATATTCTTATCTCTACTGTAGAAGGGCCGGCTGAGTGAGAAGCATTGTGAGAAACGAAACCTCTATGGTTATTGTCGAAGTTACACTTCCAGTCTCAAATTCAACGGGGAAGAGTACCGTCTCGCTTCTACTGCGAGTTATGACAGAGGGTTCAACAGCATAGAGTTCCATGTCCTAGAGCAGCCCCACATGATGTTCGAAGAGCATCCCAGCCAATAGCCTCTTGCACCGCCCTCCCTCGACAGGGTCAAGGATTGCAGAGCACTGTGGGATACAGAAGGTGCCATGGCGGCGCTTTGCCGGGCACTCTCGAATATCTTGAGGCTGCCGGAAGGAGCGGCTTGGGGCCGGTCGGCGGCCTCGTCCTCGAGGTCTGCAAGCGCTACGCGTCCACGGAGACAGGGGGTGCTCCCTGAGGGGTTGAAGGGGAGGGGATGAAAGAGGGGGTCGTCTCCGCCCCCGGAACGGGAGGCGAGGACTCCTGGGCTGCACGGGGTAAACCTCCCTCAGGCGAGAAGCTGTGCTGGCCGCGATTCCCTCTCCGGCCCGCCGGTGTGCGGTAGAGCGACCCTTCTCTTGCGCGTGGTGCGCAGGCCGTCGCGGCCTCTCCCGGTCTCTGGAGACTCGGACCCATGCAGAGCTTCTTCAGGCGCCGTTTGAAAAATGGAGAAAAACTCGCTCGCGTGAGCAAGCCCAGTGCAACAGAAAGGAAAGAGCTATTATACTTTCAATAGGTGTGCAGAAAAGGAAAGCTTATGGCAGGTCGCAGGAGGCTCGTTTGGCCCATGCCAAACACCGCCCCCACTTTTGCAGTTTTTATTTATTATATTTATGATCCACCTTTTTTCCTTCCAAAGAAATTTAAAGGAGCTTACATAATATTCCTGCTTCCCTCAGTCTTATCCTCACAACAACAACCCTGTGAGGTAGAAGCTGTGACTGGCCCAAAGGCACCCAGTGAGTGGGGACCAGAATCCAAAACGCCTAACACTCGAACAGTCTTAACTGCTACACCACACTGGTTGTCTAGTTGTTCAGAACTACAAGAGCCCCGACTATCCGAATTTCTACATGCATCAAAAAGCAGTGAGGAATAGTATGCCATCCATGTGTAGATGATCATGTGATGCAGTGATTGCACATACCTGTTCAATATGTAGCGGGCCTTTAGAGCTGTTCCATGGGTTTTTGTAATGTTTCTATACTGATGTTATCATGTGCAGAGTGCAATGCATTATTGCGCTTCCTCCTCCTCCTCCTCCTCCTCCTCCTCCTCCTCCTCTAGAGCCATTAGAATAACAAGCACCAATTAGTAGACAATTTTATGGATTTATCTGCTGGTCATCTTTTATTTGTAGAGAATATTCTTGTCTACAAAATACTGCATAAGCTCACTAAAAGGAAGTCAACTAACTATCTTTTGGGCATCATTTGGAAGACCAGGATATTTGTGAAATGCAATCCAACTATGCTTACTTTAAAGTAAAACATACTGCTCTCAGCCATATTCATTTGTAAGAAGGTGTTCATTTGTAAGAAGGTGTATGATTGCAGCATTCTCTCTGGAAAATAAGGGTTGCAGAGTGTAGACCATGGGTCCTCCAATTATGGCCCATAAGCCGGATCCGGCCCGCCATGTCCATTTCCGGCCCACCTTTTAATTATGTGAGCCCGGGGTGGCCGGTCCCGTGCCTGCCACCACCACCTTGCCTCGCCTCGCCTCACCTCACCGTGCCTGCGCCCGCCACACCTGCCGCCTTGTCATGTGCTCAACTGCACCTGTCTTTCAACTGGCCTCCTGTTGAAAAAGTTTGAGGACCCCTGGTATAGACCTGCCTTCACCAACTTGTGGCCTTCCGGATGTTTCAGATCTCAACTCCCATCAGACTGAGGATGGCCAATAGTCAGAAATACTGAACTTGTAGTCCAAAGCTTTTGGAGAGCATCCAGTTTGGGAAGGCTGATGTAGTTCATCTGTAGACTTTAACTTTCTAGAGTGGTTGATATTTTTATGCAACATCATAATCCAAGGTCTCTTGAGTATCTACTGAAGTATTTGCTTTACCACAGGGGGGGGGGGATTGATATTCTGCAGAAACACCCTAAAACACCTTAAAGTGTTCGGTTTTAACTAGAAAAATAAATTAACACAGCTTGGTAGACAAATATTGGCCTTTGACTTGTTAAAAGAAAATCACTTAATGAAAGCCTTGTGAAAGGCCAATAAGCTGCACTGGTATGGCTGAATGCTTTTTTAAAAATACATCTTTACAATTTTGTGTTTTACATGTAATTATGTTATTGTCATTAAGATTACTCCTCAGTGACACACACCAGAGTGCAACAAATGTACCAGTACTCCCTCCCTGTACGTTACTTCATACCTCTTTGCCTCGAAATGGATTAGAAGAATTTTTTGATGATCCTCAAAACTGGGGAAAGACAGAAGTCAAATCTGGTAAGGTAGTCTGAATCTGATCATTTTTATTGGCCATGTGGCTCTCACTGTGTGAATCCTGCAGGACTATTAGTGCAGAATAAAGGTTAATAAATAAACATGCAAGGTAGGCACTGTTGTGAGCAGTTCAGTAACAGTGCATTATATGCTAGATTGGGTGTTTCCCATCCAACTTCAAATCATTTTGCCCCTCCCTGTTGCCCACCTACCTTTTTTCCTGTCCAACTTCTCATAAAGCCTCTGTTTTTGACAGTTTGATAACTTCAGCTGACTGTGTTTGTGTTTGGGGATATTTCCTTTTAAGCAGTGTGTTAAAATTTTCTTGCATTTAATTTTGCTTGTTTTTCTATAGCAAGAGTTGACAGCACCAGACTGTTTTATTGGGAATGTAACCCATATGGTTGTGCTGTAAAGCACAATCCAGTCTGAATTTTATGCAAGTGCAGAGTACAGGTATTTACCATATCGTAGATCTCATAGAGCACAATATACATGGAAAAATCTTCAAACAGCTCTGCAAATAATTGCTTTCCCCATAACCTTGGTATGGAAAATGAATGGCTGTTTTCCTTAAAAAAAAAAAATACATTCGAGGTCTCCAGAAAGGTGCTCACACTTCTGGTGTGCTTTGTGGCTTCCACAGGGGATTCCTGGACTGTAGAACAGCTCCGAGGCAAGAGCAGTGAAGATTTGCACAAACTCTGGTGAGCGTCTTCGTGTTCCTTTAAGATGACATGCTTGTCTATGAATATCTGTTTCAAGAGCTGCTTGTGCTTGGTGAAATACTATTTTGTACTACATTGTTTTGACTCAGTCAACATTTTGCTACTGACTGGGCTGAGCTCTTGTGATTGCCCAGAAGTTTCAGTTGTGTAAGGAACTAAAGGTTATAGTGCAGCTTCTGTGGGGGAAGAGTACATTACTGCTTTGGCGAGGGAGCAAAGAGTTGAAGGGAAGGATGCTGAGAAGATGGTGGATTGAGTAAATAAAGGAAACCTAAGTGGAAAATAAGGCATGAGACAAGGAAGACAGGAAATTGAGATGGAGCTAATGAGGGAGGGGTTGGATGCTGTGGGATGTGTGACAGTCCTGTGACCCTCTGGATTATCCTTCTCTCAGCCTGGGCCCCTAAAGCTCCCAGCATTCCTAACCACTGGCCATGTTGGCTGGGACAGATGGGAACTGATGTCCGTACCATCTGGAAGGCACCAGGTTGTGGGAAGTCTGCTCTGGATTGTTCAGTTCCAATTCCCTTTGGCCCTGCTAGCATAGTTAGTGGCCAAGGTTTATGGGGAGTTACATCTGTGGGGGCATAAAATCCATATCCCCATTGTGGGAAGTGATATGTGTTAAGGATAGGGTGGCTAAAAGGAAGCAGCATCAAAATAGGCAGAGACCTGAAAAGCAGGAATCTGACAGAAATTATGGATGAAGACATAACATTGAAGAAAGGAGACAAAAGGAAAACTACAGGCAGGGTTTAAGAGGTGGGTGGGACTGAAAACTGGGTAGGAAGGCAAAAGAGGAAGCCAAGGTGAGCAGAGGGCAAGTAGACCTGAACCTTAGACCTAAGAGGTGCGTTCTGTTGAGTGCAGCTTTGAGTTCGTGTTGTGATTTGTTGACCCTCGGAAGTCAAGATTTGGGGGGGGCCGGGTGTTGGCAAGGCAAAATTGTATATTGCTGTGAACATGCCAGAATGATTATGTTCCTGCAAACACCTGCCAATTAAGCCTACACATCAGGCAGCCTTTTGTTTGACTTGTTACATTGAAAAAGAGGCTCTCCTCTTTTCTTACGTGTAACCAAGATGTAGCTCATTGAAGATGCTCCACAGTGCGTCCAGCTAGCAATGGAAAGTTTCTTACCTAGATGTTCTGTAATTTAGGTTTGTACTGTTAAAAGAACGAAACATGCTTTTAACGTTGGAACAAGAAGCAAAGCGGCAGAGACTACCTATGCCAAGCCCAGAACGCTTAGATAAGGTAACTTATTGCTTAGATGACTGGCAATCATATTTTCTTTTGAAGATTACAGTACTAGTTTTCCACTATAGTAACCGAAGGAGGGAGTTTCTCCTGAGCTCAATCTCTTTCGCGTGCCATGGCAGCTGCAGCTTCAAAACTTAACTTTTGTACTCTTTAGGTAAAAAAATCCATGGAAAGAATGGACCTTGTCGTTCAAGAAAGGGAAGACGCTTTGCGGCTCTTACAGACGGGCCAAGAGAAGGAGAGACCAGGAGAATGGCGATATGATTTCTTGGGCCGTCCTTTTTGGTATGTTGCGGTTTCAGAACTGTAGCACATTTGTGTCCTTAGCCCAGTTTTATGGTTCTATGAGAAAGCAGGTATGGAAGCCTGTTTCTCACTCTTATACTAGAACCAGGCTCACCCCAGAGATGATTGATGGGAGATTTAGGATAGATAAAAGGAGATGGTCTGTTGCAATTGGTAGCAACCCATGCAGCTGATGACTATTGGGTGCTGTTATGTCTGCATGGACAGGAGGAGAAATGAGGATTTAGGAGATACTTTTGTAGGAAGCATGAAAAAGAAACTGAGTATTCTTTAGTGTGCTTTCAGACAGAAGGGAGGCCTATGTGGTGTGAAAGAACATATGTTTGAGGGGTGATCCACAGTGAGAGATGGATGAGTTTACCCACAGCAAGGAAAAGAGGACCGGTTTACATTCTGTGCAGTTTCCGTGAACAATGAAATCTGGTTTCAAAGGAGCAGAATATGCTGGTGCTGAGACCCCACCTCTGCCTTGTGCTGTCTTTTGGGCTTGCCATTGTCTTGCCTGCACTTGTGGAGATAACAAAAAAGGGATCAAGTGGTGATGGTACTGCTACAACTTCCTGGAACACACCCACCCATCTAAGCGTCTGCTCAGCAGGTGCTGCATTTGCCTGGTCAGAACTGATCAACTTCTGCTACAGCTATGTAGTCAAAAAATGCTTGTGTGTATTTGAAAGCCTAAAATGTTGGAATATTTCTCCCTAAAATGTTGGAATGTAGCCTGTTTTTTTCCCCAGCAGTGAGAGAAGGCTAGTAACCTTGAATTGAATGGAAAGTTGTCTAGCTCTTTTTTTTATAAATGCTCAAAACAGTCTCAGTTGTGATATGGCTTCTCTTTGCTAAATACAGATAACAAGTCTGTAATTGCTGTGTCACTGGCAGGTACACTTTCAGGGAATGGCCAATCCCCTGGCACTTGAACGCACGGCACAAAAGGAAACGATTTTTCTATTTGCCACATGTTGAACATTTTAAGAGGTAAGAGCAGTTTTTAGAACACAATCTTCTGATCTGCTTCACGCCTTTTTCACTGAGAGAGAACCAGTGGTTTCTGCACTCATTTGTAACTTGGTTGGTTCCCTCCTGCAGGCTCAAATTTGAAAAATATTTACGAATTGAAAACAGGAAGAAAGTCTTGCAGAAGAAGAAAGAGAAACAATTAATGGAAAAATTTCCTCATCTTGCTAAGCAGTCTAACAGTTAAGGTGGATTTGGAAGTGTTACTCATCTAAGACCAGCAGACTAACAGTCTGCCATTCAGGGGAGATATGGCGTAAAAACTCTTTGTGCTGTCATTGGATATAAGTGTACAAAGACTTACCATGATGCTTCAAAAAATTCTTACCACAATAAAGTTGCTTCACCCCTGTTGTGGAATATTGTTCATTCAGACATATTTCTATTACAAAATCATTTAGCTGTGTGTATTCTACAGTCCTATGATTGTACCCATACCTACATTTATAGGATGTGTTTAGCATACTTAATTTTGCAGTATACCTGACACCACCTTAAGAGGCCTCCCAGTAGGTAGTGTGCAAACTTGTGGCTTCTGATGTTGTCTGGAAGGCTGAACCCCTACACAGCTCCCCACTCGTGGAAAGAAACCATGCCAGGTGCCTATCCGAAATGCAACTGGGATTGATACAGGACTTAGCATTAGACCCACCTTATCAGCTGCCCGCCCTTCCTGATACTTCAGCTAGATGGCTGAAAATGGCCATTTAGACAAAATGCAAAGCACAGAGCTTATATTCACCTGTACCAGAAGACACAGGATTACACCCTATGCCAGTAGGGGTGAACCTATCCATGCCAGGTCGCCCCAGTATCGCCCAATGAGCCGAGCATCGGATAACAACGTACAACGGAGCCATGCACTTGCACGGAAAGTAGTAATGGTGCCAGGCGATGATATCACAAGCAGTGACTCATTAGCCGCTACTTGTCCAAGCTTTCGCATGGCCAGTCGGTGCACTGCCAAGCACGCGCATATATATGTGTGTGTGTGTGTGCGCGCGCGCACGGATTGGTTGTGGGCTTTTTTTCCTAAAGTAAAACATCAGTTTCCAGGTTCTATTGCACTATTGGCACGTAACGATACATAAGTGGATTTTGGGTTGTGGTTTGGACACACAATCTCTAGAAGGTTCACTAACACAGGGTTAGGGTTAGAAAACTGAGGTGTCCTGGCATGGTTTTCATAGTTGGAAAGTGTTTAGAATGGGCAGAAATGAAGAGCCATGCAGGAAAAACTACTCAAGGAAGGCTTTTTCAAAATAGCTCCTTTCAATGGTATTTTACCTCTATATTAGGGTTAGGGGTGTATGCCAGGTTAGGGTTCAGGTTAGAGAAAGGAGGTGTCCTGGCATGGTTTTGATGGTTGGAACGTGTTTAGGATGGGCAGAAATGATGAGCTGTGCAGAAAAAGGCACTCAAGGAAGGCTTTTTCAAAATCACCCCTTTCAATGGAATTTCACCTCTATATTAGGGTGAAGGGTGTGCACCAGGGTAGGGTTAGGGTTAGAGAAACGATGTGTCCTGACATGGTTTTGATGTTTGGAACGTGTTTGGAATGCGCAGAAATGATGAGCTGTGCAGGAAAAGCTACTCAAGGAAGGCTGTTTCATAATCCCCCCTTTAAATAGAATTTCACCTCTATATTAGGGTTAGGGGTGTGTACCAGGGTAGGGTTAGGGTTAGAGAAACGATGTGTCCTGACATGGTTTTGATGGTTGGAACTTGTTTGGAATGTGCAGAAATGATGAGCTGTGCAGAAAGAGCTAGTCAAGGAAGGTTTTTCCAAAATAGCCCCCTTAAATGGCATTTTAGCCCTATATTAGGGTTCGGGGTGTGCACCAGGGTAGGGTTAAGGTTGGAAAAACGGTGTGCCCTGGCATGCTTTTTATGGTTGGAGCATGCTTAGAATGGGCAGAATTGATGAGCTGTACAGGAAAAGCTACTCAAGGAAGGATTTTTCAAAATCGCCCCTTTCAATGGTATTTTACCTCTTCATTGGGGTCAGGGGTGTGGACCAGGGTAGGGTTAGGGTTGGAAAAATGGGGTGTCCTGGTATGGTTTTGATGGTTGGAACATGTTTACAATGGGCAGAAATGATGAGCTGTGCAGAAAAAGCTACTCGAGATCTTTTCAAAATCACCCTTTCAATGGTAGTTTACCTCCATATTAGGGTCTGGGCTATGCACCAGGGTCGGCTTAGGCTTGGAAAAACGAGGTGTCCTGGCCTGATTTTTATTGTTGGAATGTGTTTAGAATGCGCAGAAATGATTAGCTGCGCAGAAAAAGCTTCTCAAGGAAGATTTTCAAAATTAGCTCGTTCAGTGTTATTTTACCAATGGTTTTTTTTACCGACCTTTGCATTAGATCAATATTTTAATATGTTTTAAAGTAACTGTGTGATGATGTATTTATATTTTATATGATATTCAGCCAGCGTGGAATAGCTAACGTATTATAGTTTGAAATAACCTAAGGTTTCCTGAGACGATAGTAATGGATGGCATACAAATTTGATAAAGAAATAAAGAAACAAATACCCCTCTATTAGTGTTAGAGGTGTGCACCAAAGTAGTGTTAGGCCAGTAGGGGTGAATATAGGGTACACCTGCCACAGCAGAGCCCTGTCAGTACGCGAGCCAAGTCACCCGCGCATCACTCCATCTCCCGAACATCGGATAATAGGGCACATAGGTGCCATGCGCATGCTCAGAATGGAGTTGTGGGCCAGATGTTGATGTCATGAGCTGTGACTCATTAACCACAACTATTCTGAGCTTTCGCATGAACGGTCTTTACACTAGCAAGGGGAAAGGGTGGGGGGGGGAGTAGGGGGAGCAGGAGTGTGTGTGTGTGTGTGTGTGTGTGTACGTTGCTTGGTCTGGCAAATATATATTGCTTGGTCTGGCTGTGAGGTCTTTTTTCTAAACTAAACCTCAGTTTTTAGATTCTATTGTAGTGTTGGCACTTTGTGATAAATAAATGGGTTTTGGTTACAGTTTGGGCACTTGGTCTCTAAAAGGTTCGCCATCACTGCCCTACGCCATCTGTTTTACCTTTTCCCTTGACAGAGTGAGATGTGCATGTCTGAATGAATAGATTACTGGAAATTCATCATAAATTAATGCAGCTTGTGGCATTGCTCAATTGCAGAATAAAGCCTACTTCAATGACTACCATGAAACCAAGGAGCCTCTATGACAAACTAGAGGAATTTATTAAGGCCAACGTAACAAGGAAGACTAGTCTGAAAGTAGACACATTTCTTAGAAATGTCATTGAAAGGCAAGAAATTACATCCATAGATTGTAGCTTTGTCACCTTCTAGGAAAAAAGGTTTTTGCAGAAAATAGATATTTATACAAAATCATAAAAAAGTTTGTATAAGAGTTATTGCATTTTACAACGGATGCAGGCACCCATTTGTCATGAAAGAACCAGTTTGGCCTTTTAAAATAGTACCTATAGTTTGTTTAAAATTGAAATTAAAGAATGCACAAAAAGTATGTTTCCTACAAAAGAGACAAAACTTCCATTCCTGAGTATGCTAAAGCTATTGAATATTAAAAGTGCTGGGGAAGGCAGAATTTCTTAGAGCACAAAAGTTATGGGCATTTCCTTTCGACACACTGCTTTCCTCCCTCTTCATATTCTTGCTTGGAGATCCACATCTGTTGGAAAGTACCCTGAAAAATAAATCCAGCAATGGTCATTACATCTCAAAAAGATTGTAGAGCTGTAAGAAGGTGCGGAAAAGACAGCCAAAATTACTGGGAAATGTAATAACTCTCCTATGAGGGAATATTATAACTGAGGCTTTTTAGTTTAGGAAGAGGCATCGAACAAGATGATCCATGACAAACTATGAAGTTAAGGCATGGTGCGCAGAACATGGGGCAGCTTTTCTTCCTCATAATTCTAGAACCCAATGGGGTCATCTAATGAAGCTAGTAAGTGGGAACCATAATCACAGGATTTGGTGACAAGCAGCAATTTACATACATTTAGAAGGGACAAGACAAATTTACGAAGCCTACCAACGGCAGCTATTTATGGGTACCTCCAGGATCAACAGTAACATGCTGCCATCTTTCAACATCTGGAGCACAACTCTTGCCCTCTCCTTTTTGTGGACTTTCCATGATTATCTGGTTAGTCACTGAGGAAACAGGCAACTAGAATGCACAGGTTTTGGGGCTGATCCAGCCAGATACTTAGGTTCTCACTCTATCTTTTAAATGCCAGAAAGCAGCAGGAGAGGCAGATTAAAGAACTGTAATAAACCTGAGTCATTGCTCAAAATGCCCTCTTCATAACTCTGACTTTTATATACTGGTGCCAACCATGTATTTTGGACTATAACTACCATAAGTCCCAACCAACTTGGTTTCTGTCAAGGCTGCACTTCAAAACATCCGGGAGGCATGAGGTTGTCTACCCCCAATGAATTTTCTAACCACTTCTCTGATGCAACCTACTTTTTAAACAAAGCTACCATTGTTATTCACACTGCGTCCCACAAAATTTCTGATTTCATCCTGAAAAGCCTTACATCTACATGGCACAGGATGTAATTTAATGAAGCAGTGGTGCTAGAGCAGGAGGAAAGGTATGGGCAAAGGAGAGTAACAGGCATGCTTTGGTGGGCAAATGAATTGCAGAGGCCACACAAAAGAGGCAGATTAGGAGACTGGTCAATTACATCTGCAAAGACCAGTTGTAGACAACTGTTCATAGTGAGGATTCTTCGCTACATTTCCCAGGAAGATGTGACTGTTCACTGCAGAAGCAGGAAACGCTGGCCTTGGAGAGGAACTAGCAGAGTCGTTCTTATGCTTCTTAGTAGATAGAGATGAAAGTAGTGACTGGCTGTGAATGAGTCATTAGAGAGTGATGAGGAGGGAAAACGAAGAAGTTCAGAGCTGTATTAGACAACCATGATTCCTCATCAAAAGGCTATTATGAAACCCATTCCTTTGGCACTTTTCAGTGGAGGAACTGCTTTACTGCTGCTCTTGTATGTACACTGCTCCATCAAATTTCTCCCCTTTATCGAATTCTCCTGTCTGAACCAAATTCTTGCAGGTAACCCAAATGCTTCTCTGAACACCTGGCTCCACTTCACACCACATGCACATACAGTGCCAAACCTGTCAGGGTACTAACCAGAGAAGCCAAAATGGAACCTCCAATCCAGGAACTAAACCTTCGCTCCACAGTTGTATTGTTTGCTATCAGCTTTAGCCGCATGCTCTGAAACCAGAAAAGAGTTCTGATGAGGAGGGGGCAAGAAGGGGCCACAGCAAATTCCTGAGATGACTGACAGAAGCATTTGCTTAAAGACAGGTTTCTTTTTTCAGTTACTAAAATTTATATTCTTTTTTCTGCAAGAGCATAGGCTTGCACCCATACAGTACAAGCAAGAGTCTCCTTCCCACACCCACCCACTAGCATGCACAGACCTTTTGGTAAGAGGTATAAGCAAGAGTATATGAAATCCCAAAACCGAGTGAAGAAAACTAAAATGCTGATCAGAAACCCTGCAGGGGTTCAAATGTGGTAATAATTCAGTGAGCCAATGAAGCTGGAATAGACTAAGAAATGTCCAAGAGTTTGCATGCATCTAGGAGGATTATTTCTCTCTTTAAATAGCAGTAGCCCCACCTCCACCAACACTGCGTTTCAAATAATTTGCACCCTTCACTTTCGGAAGCAGTTTGCTATGTGGCTCCTGTTTGCAAGACAGGAGTCGGGAAGGCACTCCTGGATGCAAAACCTCCTTGGGCACACAGAACTAACATGATTTGGATGGCAATTATGATCCTTAATGGACAACTCATACCAGTGTGCCAAGTGCCTGGTCTGTAAGATGTTCCTAAATTAGTTTCCTGGTTTGGACTTCACAAGGAAGCTGATTTAAGAAACCAGGAAGGATCATCTGACGTCAGGAGTGCAAGAGGAAAAGAGATGCGAGTGCTGCAGCCCTGCTTCGTTGGACTAAGACTGCATTACTTCAAAACCCAGTCCATGTTCGAAAGGACACTGCAGTCTCTCCCACACGCCAGTGTGCTGCACACCTGCATATAGGGTCTTGCGGTTCATAGGTGCATCACTGACAAACGAGTGAATCTTAAATATGTGTTTAGCAAGCGCACTTTTCTAACAGTCGAATATATTTGCATTTGAGAAGTACAAGCAAAGCGTTGCTACCGAGCCCCAAACTTACTGGAGGGGTTTTTTGAGAGAGTTCCCTATTCAGTCTGTCCGTAAAGCTCTGTAGTAGTGTATTGCCTCCTGCTACGATGACACTACCGTAGAGGCCCTGGAGAAGGAAGACACAATCCACACAGTCCATTACAAGTGTACTGGGAGAATCAGGCCACCAACTTCTGAAGAGCCACAAGCTGCTCTTCTCAGATTCAGCAATGGGAAAAGACTCTCCCCAACTCTGCTCCGTTACACTCATCGCCCCTAATACCTACTGGCCTGATGTCTATGTCGCACATCCCAACACTTGTGGTGACCACATGACTCACACCAAGCATTGTGTTGCCAGATAAACCCTGGAGGAGGGGGAAAGAACATGTGTTAATGCATGGCGCACAGCAATAGAGCTCTTCTGGAGACTGCAACTTGGCTCCCAGAGGCAGCTGGGAAATCTCCCTTCATCAGTTCCTATTTGCTTCCATAATATAGTGAAGAATGCAGTCCCATGCCTGTTTACATAGGAAAAAGTCCTACAACTTCAAGGACGCTTCAAACATGGCTGCCTTTTGTGGTTCAAACAAACATAAGATTGCACGGTGAGTGTGGGATACAAAGGACACTTTGTGTACCACCTGACTTAGTCTTACCTTTACATTAGAAGGGTCAAACAAGCCTTCAGGAATTTTTAGTCGCTCAGCACCAAAGTCACAGTTGTAACCGTTGGGGAACTCATAGTGTACAGTTGGCATCTGTGCAGCCACCCTGAAAGCAGAAATCACTCATTTTTACAAGGAAAAGAAAAACGCTACTCTGGCATAAACTTTCACAGACATGGTCCACTTCATCAGATGCATTCATTTTCAGCAGGTACTAGAGAGTCGTTACACATCTCCTTCTCGTTTCTCATGTACAAAAGGTGAACTGCGTTTCTTATCCTGAGAAATAATGGCTTGGCAAGCACCACCCAGAGAGCTCCGAGGTGCTGAAGGGAGTGCCTAGCTTGCCCAATACTACCGTCTTCCTCTTAAAATGGAAAGGTGCGGGGCAGACATACCCTTACTCCACGCTGAGCGAGGCCTCAAAGGCTGGCAAACATGCCATCCAGGAGTTCCAGCAACACAGAGACGCTCTGGAACACATGCTCAGGAAGTTAATTTAGTAAGTGTTCTTTCTTTACTCTGTGCCCCGAAGTCCAAAATAGAGGCTTCCACCATATTAGTGAACTGAGAGCTTGGCTGGTTCAGAGCTGATTTCAGCTGCTGTAATAGATGCACTCTCTTATATATTTGTAATATTTTTATATTGCCCTCAGCAAAGTGATGTTCCCTTAAATTGCTTCAAAGGCTGGGCAGCCCAGCCAGAAAGGCAACTTTATGCTCAAAATAAATGGCCCCTCTCGGTCAAGCTTGCACTCAACACATGTGAGGGCCACTTGTGAATCATGAGCATGTAAATCTAAACAGCAGTTAATAGCAATTATCCTTAGTTAAAGGAAGCCAGCTTTATAAACTAAGGTTTGACGTTACCTTCAGTTGGGAGAAACAAGCTAAATTTTAACCACAGTTTGTTCTGATCTGGGCAACACAGCCAGTTATGGCTAATCAAAAATAAGGCAAAAGCTTCCAAGCTGCTTTTTGTAACTGTACTGCATAAGCAGGGGGCAAACAACACACAGGCCTGGGAGAAGGCTAGGGTCATGCTTGGAATATTAAGCTGTGATTTGACCTCATATCCAAATTCTTCCAAAATCTCAGACTAAATTCATTTCATCGTTTAAATTCAGAGAGACATACTGTTCATCGTATGTGGAATCAGACACTTGTAGGACAGAAGCTTGGAAGTCCTGAATTACGCACTGTGAAAAGAAAGATATGTTTGTAAAAACAGGGATCTGATACTTCCTATTCCAAACATTTTGTTACCTTTAGGACATCTAACTGGACACCATGATTCCACTGCCAGCAATAGCAGATGGAACACCCAATTGGAAAAGAGTAGCAAAACAACTATCAAAACAACCACCACCATTTAGGGTGTACCTTGTTGACTGTACATAGTGAGAGTCTTATTTAAGCCAAGTGGAACTACCCATTAAAGTAGGAACTCACTGCCTTAGGGATATATGTTAACATTAAATGGGGTGGGCGATGGGTGTCCCTATTCCATACCCAAATCCTTCATGATTTCAAATCAAACACCTTTGTACCACCACTTGTTGCAAGAAATACTTCCATAATTAATTCCTTTGTAGGCCCAAGTGAATAAACTCACATTGCACATATAATTGTGCCAAGTCCTTGTGACCTGTGGCAGTTTCTCTTTTCTTTTCCAATTTGCTGGAGAACCCTCACGAACAGCTTCCTGGAAGAGCAAATCAAGGTCATTCCACCGTTTCCACACCCAAACAATTATATCAGGGGTAAGGAACCTCCTTCAGCCTAACAGCCAAATTCAGTTTTGCAGAAGGCCTTGGGGGCTCCGTTCCACTGAAAGGCAAGGCTGAAGGCAAAGGAGCGGAGCCAAAAATACAAAAATGCCAGCACATCTTGTCATAAAGCATTGCCAGTAACTAAGTCTTTTAGAAAGAGTGACAGTGCTGCCCGAAGGCCATGAAACCACCAAAGGGTTGGCGGTTGCGGCAAGGGACATAAGGAAGGGGTGGGGGAATCAAGCAGCCCCCCTCCCCGGGTCCTCAGAATCAAGAGAGTCAGATCAAAGGCCCACCAAGCACTATCAGCCATGACAGGCAGTGTACCTTGAGCCCAACAGCCCAAGGAGGCATTTCAACCATTTAGCCAAGGCTTGGCTCACAGCCACGCAAGCTCTTCTCACTTAGCATCCATACAAGATGTACAAGATCCCATGCTGGATCAGGAGAAGGTCCATCATTCTGTTCTCACAGTGGCCAACTAGAAGTCTGTGAGCAGGACAGGAGTGCAACAGCAGTGCGCTGCTCTCGCCCTGCAGTAAGTGGCCGCAAGAGGCATATTGCCTCGGATATCAAAGGAATATGTAGCCATTCAAAGGATGGGTGGCTTCTAGCTGGAAGCCAGGTTCCGGCTGACCATCGGGAAGATCTTTCTGCTAGAGCAATACAACAATGGAAGCAATGACCCAGGGCAGTCGTGGGTTCTCCAGAGCCATCTGAGAGGGGTGCTTTAACTTGGGAGTCCTGCACTGAATAGGTAACTGGACTTGACTGTCTTCTTGACCCCCAAACAGACATCCAGCCGCCGTATTATAGCCCCATTTATTCTACTCTTACCTTTGATGCAATCATATATGGAGGAATTATCTCTATGTTCATTTCCTGAAAGAGCTCCCGGCACTGCATGGAAATGAAATCCCCTGCCAGAGGTGACTTCACAATGCCTGCAAAAGCAGAATGCAAGTGAGCCTTCCAAAAAGTTTACAAGCCCCCCAAAACATATTTGGCACCCAGGTACGGTTTCCCTTTACACATCAACCAGGCTATCGGCTTAGCATCGGGCTAGCCTGCTTCTGCATTCTCAAGGGACACTTTATTCAGACAGTAGGCAGAATGTACCTTTTTCCCCGCACACTGACTCCATTTCTCACAACCAGCCTGGCTGCCTAATACAGCTGGTGCTCTCTAGCCCTAATGGCTTCACAGTCAACAAAGAAGGTGCGCTCAGGTTTGGCCATGGCATCATGTACATATCCAAAAAGAGATGTTACACTTAAGTACACGATTTCTCCATTTTATAACTATTTAAAGACAGTTCTCTCAGAAGAATAATTGGGAGGAACTGAAAGTTTTGTTACTGAATACCAACTGAAATTTGGAAAAGCCAACAGGAGCCAGATTAAATTGCTTCTGTTTAACAAATAAGCCACATTTTATATAAGCAATAACTACATATGCATTTACACACTGATTTGTGTGCTGCCTTTTAAGGCATCATCCTTGCAAGACAGCTAATAATGTAAATGATTTAAAATTTAATGCAACTTAAAACCAAAACACTCAAATTACAGCAGAACAAATGGGAACTATTTAACAGAGGAAAACAAATTATTTCAAAATACAAATCAGTCTATGCTCTAAGATAAATACAAATAAGCCTCCCAGATAGTTACTTCTGAATGGGCAGGATTAAAATTGCAATGTTAGTTGATTTAATCTTGTGTTGCAAAAAGGAAGTCTCCGGTTTGCTTTAAACATATTTTCTTCATGGGACTTCCCACATTCCCATCAGTGCTTTTGGAAGAATTCTTACCTTGCTGGAGCACGTAGCCATCGTGCACAGGGATTGCAGTGGTGTGTGTCGCTCCGCTATCCAAGATCAAGCCTGTGGATCTGCCGTTAGCAAAGCTAGTTGAAGAGGTTATGGAAGACAATGGGATTTGCACAGGACAGCAATGCAAGAGCGTACGCTGCAGTTTATTCTGCTTTTTCAAAGTGGGTTTACAGCTGAAGCGTGCTATGCTGCTGTGTAATTGCCTGCAGCTTTTGGGAGAGGGAGCTTAAAAGCCAACTAAGCTAAGGCTGCAATTCTACCCACACTTACTCAAGGGAAAGTCCTACTGTAGCAAGGCTTCCAAGCACACATATATACCAGGAGTGCCAAATTTCAGTCCTGCTCTCCCAATCCTCTCACCCCACCTGTTTCCCCAAATCATCAACTAGGTGGTTTCCTAGTTTTTGTACTGATTCTTCTCTATTTGTACTTTATACAAACTTAATCCTGTTTTTCCACTTCTGGATGAGAGAATATAACTATTTTCCTGTCTTTAAAACTAGTGTAGCAATAGCCATAAAAACCTTCATTTTAGGCTTGATTTGCTTTTTTAAAAGAAGCAACATTATAGTATGTGCAGTTATTCATTAACATTTTTGGGATACGCTGTAAGTACTGCAGTTTTGCACAAGAAGAAAGCAGGGATATTGTAATGCTCAAACATCAATTCTGTCAGTTTTTCACGCTTCGCTCTGGTGTTCCACTAAAAGAGCAAAAAGATAAGATTAAAAATACTTCCTCACTGACAAGCTAAAGAGAAATACATCCCACTCAAAATATTCACAGCAGGAAAAAAGCTTCAGGAAAGTCTGGGTTACTTCCTGTTTTAAAAAGGCAGCGGTTGTTCATCTCCTGGACCTGGCAGAGACAAACATTGGCTGCCTGCAAGCTACGGTTTGCCAATTGGAAACCAGTCTGTTCAATCTGAAATGCATGCTGTGTTCCACTCCTTCCCTAGAATAACTTTCTCCCTTCTCTTCAGATTAAAGTACTGCCTTATATTATATGTGGACCCATGAAAAATGTGGTTCTCTTCTAAATCACAAATTAAACGCATTGTTTGCAGTGGTTTTGCAAGCTGCCATTACTAGGGAACCTGGTTTACACTGGTGCATGCTTAAACACAAAGAGAATGACAGGAAGAAAGCATGAAAAAGTTAATGGCAAGAGGAAATGCACCTTCTCAAGGTTAAAGGCAGCAATGAAGCAACTGTCTGAGGTGCCCAAATCCCAGGTGTATGTGACAGAGTTGTGTTTGTCTTGAAAAGAAATCTAATCTGTGCTTTTTAATAGAGAAGCAGCCAAGCTGCTCAGTCACCTGGGCAAGATCCTGGCACTGCAGGAAATGCAAAAAGGGAAGGGGGGGCCGTTTGCCCTAAGAACATTATAACAGCTGAACAAAGAACACAAGTAAATGGCAATTTGTATCGATGAACAACTGTGTTAAACTAACCATGACAATTACCAAATAAAGTAGAACACAGATGTGAAGCAATCACTGGAACAAATACAAGCACGGAAAGAAACAGGGTCCCAAATATGCCAGTAGTGGTGTTTTTCCAGGCTCCTTGCTTTAAGTTATTCAGTCTTCCCACACCAAATGTTTCCATTTCACAATTTTTAAACTGCCAGATATCTATGCATTCAAACTTCATCAGTTAGTTCTGACGCAAATAAAAAGGATTTTTACTCACTGGTGCTTCAGACATTAGAACAGGATGCAAAGCAGCTTCTGATTTAATGTGCATCTTGTAGGTGTGATCCAAAATTGCTTGGAAGCCATCCCAGTCTTCAACTGCAACAACATGAAACATGGTTACTGCTAAACATAGTTAAGCATTATCTCTGTCCTGGGCCACTGTCCCCCAGAAGAAGCAACTAGGCAGCACAGGGATATACTTTTCAGACATGCAACCATTTAAACACATATATCTGTACCAAAACTTTAAACAAAAGGTTAATGAATTTCTTCTCACAAACCACAGAACAAGCAACATATGTTGCAACTCATGAATAACAGAAGATAAAAATTAAAATCTACAGTTCTTTTAAAAACTAGCAAATTTTAACATCCTGGTCAAGACATTAGCACCAAATTATTTTCACCCCCAGACTAAAAGTGTCACAAGGAGGACAGAACTCTCTCTTTCTGTCGTCTCTGAAATCAACAACCAGGATTTAAGGATGAAGAAAAAATAATGCAGAACACCATACTCATTCCATTTTTCAAAGGTGAAATAGCCTCCATGTTCTCTCTTGGAACTCGCAAAGCATTTGTGTCTATGTAGTAAGTTGGGCCTCCTTGTTTGCTTTTATCACCATCAATCTCCATCATGGAACTTCCATCATCCCGGTCCAGTACCACACCAATGGCAGTGGGAAAGTCAACCTACAGCAGAAAGAAAACATACAAGGAGGTTAGGTGATGCCTATCTGTTTTGCACCTTCTTAGCAAGCCTGACAGTTACAAAAAAGACAACAAAGTATCACCAGTGCCTCAAATTTCTATGAATTGTTCTAAGAATCAAATCTCTCATCTATTTCATATGGGGGAAAGAAAAACAGCCAAGCATTGGGGCAGGGGCCAGTTTGGATGCATCAGATGCTGCATAATTATGACTCATCCAGATCCCAGGTACGTTATTTTCACAAACAATTGTCTCCATGAACATCATAGGAATTTATTGCACTCCATTTTTCAAGCCAATCTGTCTCTGAAATTGCATTTTTATGGAGCCATTTACACTTAAATTGTAAAATTAAGAATCAGGTAAAAATGAAGTCTTGATACTTACTAGCTTGGGCATCAAAACAATTTGAGAAACCAAAGTCTTAGAGTTGTCCTGAGCCATGACCTAGTGCCTTTGGGCCTTCGCTTCGAAACATTTTCCACTCAGTTCACATCTAGCCTTCCTTTTTGGAAAGCCAAACTATTAGGTGCCTCTAGGGATGGGGCACATCATGGGTAGGGCACCGATTCAAAAGGGAGGGAATGATGAAGGCTACTAAAATGAAGACTGGGGGCTGGAAGGAAATTAATCTGTAAACAGCAAAGTCTGAAATTATGGTATGGGAAGGAAAATCAGATATTCTGAGACCCTCTCCTTGGCACCTGTCTTAGCTAACTAGCTTTGCTAGCACAAAGGTTGTGCAAACCAGACCATGTTACAATTTACTGGGTGGCTGTAAAGTGCACAAAAGGTCTCCAGCTCACTGCAATATAGAGTTCTGGTGCAATACACAACAGTCTCCAGAGTTCCTTAAGAAACGTAAACCTCTTGACCAATTTCATATCTCACTTTTATTCTTACCTTTGGGCAGTCCTCCCCAGCATAGCCAGCTCTCACGGTATAGGAGCCAATATCAAACACCAGTGCACCAACCTCATCTGCAAGCACAGATTTACTGCATGAGTAACCTTAAAAAGAAATCTAAACCATATGATACACAAGATGCATTTTCTGGTATGGGGTTATAATACAGGGCAAAATCAACTGCCACTCAAGAAAAAATGACAGATTCCAACAATGCTGGCTGGGACATTCTGGGAGCAAGAGGCTTTTTTTCTTTGCAAACTGACACTGTGCCACTAGTAAGTTTCACAGACTTGCTTCCAATTATTCATACATAGAACTTGTTTGCAAACATTCTGCAGGGTTCTGTAGATATTTGTCATTCCATCTCACATGTGGCTTCAGGAATGTAGACTACAGAACATAAGAAGCTTTTAACTCAGTGATAACAACCACGTGAAAAGCTCCAGATTCAACCATGAATTCATTTGGGTCAGTCATAAACACTTAGCTTAACCTACCCCACAAGAGTGTTGAGGATAAAAGGGAAGGAGAACTTTGTAAGCCACCTTAGGTTCCCTGCAAGAGGAGAGTATAAATGTAATGTTGTAATAATAAATTGCAAAAAGAGACAATCAAAGGCTATTGTTTATGACTGTATGTTGCTTCCTGTATTAGAGGCAGCACACCTACATTCACTATTCAGTAAGCCACATAAACAAGAGAGTTCTGTCGTATTCTCATCCTTCTTGTGGGTTTCCCACAGCCAGCTCCTTGGTCACTGTGTGCACAAAATATTCAGCTAGTCTGGCCTGAACCAGCACAGCTCTTACAATCTTAGGGATTTCCCAACTAAAGCTCTTTTTTTGTATTTCTGCAAAACTTGGGGTCTCTGCTGATACCTCCCTCTTGTATGTGCAGGAGCTGTTGTGGCTACAGAAGGAGTGACATTCAGATAATTCAGTCTACTTTTAGTATACAGCATGACCAAAAAGTCACAAACATAAGGAACTCATCAAGATTCTGTGTTACTTGTCAGGGACCAGGATTAGAAACCTGGGATGGAGGCTGGGGAAGCAATCACTTCCATTTAAACTACCAGGAAGTGGCAGAGGGGCACCATGGCAGAGAACAGCACAGGGCACCTTCAACTAGGCGATTTCTCTGAGAAAGAAAATACAACCAGCACTTCAGATCCATGCTAGCATCCCATATGCAAGGAAGGCAGAACACTTTGTGTATTAAATCCATCACTGCATTTGAGATCTTTGCATTGTTGCTAGAGATTTATTTAGCAAGTTTATATTCTGCCTTTTTTTTCTTAGGAAGAACTCAAAGCAGCTTACATCATTCTCCACCTGTTCTCAATCTTTTCTGCACAACAACAGCCCTGTGAGGTAGGTTAGAATGAGAGTGTGACTGGCCCACAGTCACTTAATAGGATCCACAGCTGAGTAGGGACTAGAACCCAGGTTGCCTGAGTCCCAGCCCCATTCTCAACCAGTACACCACACTGGTTCTCAAAAAAATGTTTTGCTTTTGCTTCAATTTCATACTGTAGTTGTAAAGAACTTTTACAGCATATTTTTGTTACACTTTATGATTTTAACTGTAATGAACTGCTGGATTGTTGGGCAGTACAGAAATGTTACCAAGTAATCAATCAGCCCAAGAGCAACCGCATCCATAAATCTGATTTTTTATTTTTTAAACTTTACTTAAGGAAAAATGGGATGGGAGGCGGTAATTTTATAATATACAAAAGACAAATTACACAGCACTGCAAGAAGGCCGAGTGTTTCGTTGCCTCCACTCTGCTTTGCAGCTCTGCAATTAGTAATTGCACTGTAACTTTGTCATTTGAATTATTGATTAAGCATCTTTTGAGTTGGCAGAGTTTGAGGTTGTTGAAAAAGTCACAAAAATTAGTACTGCTGCTATCAAAACCTAAACCCCACAAAATCACTCTGCAATAAACCATAAATATGTGATGCACATTAGTGTAAGAAAACCATTTTTGTAAACATGCATCCATGTGTCTTAGACACCTGACCAGGCTTCAGATGCACCCTGCACAGCGCTCCGCTCACACTGACCCGATGCGAGTTTTCCCCGCGCGGGGAGAAGTTGCACCGAGCGGAATTCTCCCGGCCGGGCACGTCTTAAAGGGACAGGAGCCCTTTTCAGGGTCATTCAGAGCCGCTCCCCCGCCCACAGGAGTGCGAGCCGGCAGAAGGCACGACCCTCTCGGTCTGAAGCAGGGAAGCCCGTCCCTTCTTCCCCGGGAGCTCACCTCCTCCGTACACGCCGCCGCTCATGGCCGCTGCCGACGCCTCTCCTGACCGGCGCCAAGAAAATAAAAGAGGCTCCAAGCGCCCGACTAGCTGAGGCCCAACAGCCCGCTCGACCTACCTTGCTCTTACCCGCCCCTCGTTCGCCCAAGCCAATCGGGAGCGAGGCCGCCTTTTGCAGGCCGCCTCTCCCGGCGCAGAAAGAAGAGCGAGCCAATCGTGGACGCCGCTCTCGAGGACGGGACGATGATAGGCTTCTTCTTGGCCCGCTCCGAAGTCGTGGTAGGTCGCGCAGCTCCTAGCGGGTCTCTCCATCCTTCTCCCTCCCCGCCCCCACTCCCCAGATCGCGCTTGGAAGACACGAAGTTTGGTTGCAGTTTACGGAGGCCCCCGGGGAGGCGGGGCCGGAGACTCGTCCGGGGAAGGACATGAGTCTAAGCACTTTGAACGCCGGAGTATGTCCAATATATTCCATAAGACTTACTCCTCGAGACCGTGAAGATTCTTATTGCACTTTCAAGACGAAACAGTTCATTCATTCTGGCATAAACTTTCATGGACGCTTCCCACTTCATCAGATGCAACCCCAGTTCCTGCAAGTGTGCAGTCTTGCAGCGTGTTTATTCGAAAGTAAATTCCACTGCGTTTAAAGGGATTTCCAGATGTTTTGGAGTGCAGTTCTCATAACCCCATAGGCAGGAGCTGCAATCCTCGACACAGTAACTGAGAATTAACCCCAACGACACTTTTGAGTGCTAGGCACACCCAAAAGTCTTGAAATCATCGCAGCCAGGTCAAAACGTAGAAACAGATCATAACCCTACAATCAGCAGCTGTACAGGAGTTAGAAACCAGCACATGTGGAGGTTAGGGGGCTCCAGGTTGGGGGAGGCTGCAAAGACCTACTGGAGGAAAATGGTGTGGGGAGGAAAGTATAGATAAAATTGTTATGGGAACATATTGCCTCCTGCTGATTGGTGGCAGATTCTGGACAGGTAGAAGGAAATTTTCCCTGCAGCACACAGTTAAACTGTGGAATTCACTTCCATGAGATGTACTGATGCCACTAATTTGGACAGTTTTAAAAGGGGATTGGTCAAATTCATGGAGGATGAGGCTATCAGTGGTAACCAGACCTGATAGCTATATGCTACCTCCAGTATCAGAGACAATACACCGATCTACACCAGCTGCTGGGGGACATGGGTGAGAGGGTGCTGCTGCACGTAAGTCCTGCATGTGGGTTTCTCAAGGGCAGCTGGCTGGGAACTGTGTGAGCAAAATCTTGGACTAGATGGACTCTTCGTCTGATCTAGCAAGACTCTTCTGTTGGGCACAAATGGCCTTACCAGTAATCAAAGAAAGGATTGCATGGTTTAAAAAACAGATTGTTCCATGTTGTTGTTGTTATTACCAAAGGGACTCCACATTACAGATGGCCTAGAAATAATTTTAGGTAGACTGACTTTCTAATTAGAGAAGTCACACTAGGAAGACATGTGCAACTCTGGATGAATTTGGCTACCATCCTATATTTATTGCCCAGTGCTTTTTCTGGCTTGTCGTGAATCATAAGATTTCTGGGCACTGAAATAGGCAACCAGATCCTATGCATATTTGCAAGGATGCAAATTCCGTGTAGTGGTTAGAGTGTTAGGCTTGGGCTCAATCCATATGCAGCTCATAGGTGACTTTGAGCCAGTCACTAATTGTCATCCTAATTTACCTTATACAGTTTTTGTAAGGGTGTACGAGGGGCGTTCAATATATTCTCGGTATCAGCATGAAGAAAAAAAAGAGATTATAAATGTAGTAACGAAATAAAGTCCTATGCATGTTTATACAGAAAAAACAACTTGCTGTAACATAGTTGGTATTGTAGGGCTTGTCTAAAACCCTAAGACTGCCATCATACTTACCTAGGAGTAAGCTCCATTGAACATCTGAATAGAGATGCATAGAATTGCAATGCAAAAGTGCATAGGACGGCAACCTGAGAGTGCTATCCTATCACATCTAACTGAGGGTTAACCCCAACGACCGCTTGTGGGCATTTAACACACGCAACAGCGTCGAAACGCTTTACGCACCGTCGCAACCTGGTCAAGCTGTAAAAGAAACCTGCTCTTTCGTCCTCCAAGCAACAGGGGCCGCTGCTGTTCCTGGAATCTTCCGCTCTTTCACCGGGCCTAACCGGAAGTGACGCACACTGCTGGCCGTGTTAGCACGCGCACGGCGCGTCCAGGGTAGCGCACGGTCTCTCCTCGCTCGGAGCTCGATGGCGGCGTCGGGTGCGGAGACGACGAGGCCCAAAGCGACGCCATCGGCGCCGCTCCTTTCTCTGGAGCCGGAGCGGCAGCGCGAGTTCCAGGACCAGGTGCAGCGCGTGCGCAAGGCGACCGCTAAGGTGAGCTCGGGAGCGGAGCGGGGCGGCGGCGGCCCCGAGGGAGGCGCGGCGCGCGGGGGCCGAGCGCTCTGCTCTCCCCGCACTCGCGGAAATGCGGCGCGCCTGTTGCCTCGGCGGCCGCGTCTGCTTTGCCCATCTCGTCCCCCCAGAGAGGTGTTAGACAGCACCTCCCATCATCCTTGCCAAGGAGTGGTGGGAGCTGCAGCCCAGCCTTGGGTCAGGCAGAGGCTACTTTAAAAGTGCCCTTGGATGAGGTGGTAGAGTCCTGAACTGTCAGAATGGGCTGTACCACATCAGACTGCCGACGAATGGTGTTCTTTCTGAATATTTAGCTACTTTTAAAAACTTCGAAACATTCTGCACAGCTCAAGGTAAGAGCTTCTTCTTTTTCCTTGCTGTGCATAGTTTTTGGTTGTTCGTTAACAGGGATTTGGTTCGCACGACACTCTAAGCCACCTGGGCATGTAAGGTGAAACGACCCAGCATAGTGTCCCAACCAGGGTGCCCTTTCTCGCAGGGGGCGGGGGGATGGGGATATATAAACCCAGGTGCTGGGTTTATAAGCCACTGTGCAGAGTCATGCTTTAAGACATTCTTTGTCTTAAAAGCATCCTTCAAAAATGCTATGGAGCTGCTTCATAAGAACAAAAAGGCTTGATGCTGTGAGCTGCTGCTAATGACAGCTGGTCTCAAGAAGCACTTGTTAGAGGCTCGCTGCACCTGCTGAGGGGCAAGTCACAGTCGGCTCAGCCCACCCCAGAGCAGGCCAAAAAGAGCAAGGCTCACCCCGCACCACAACTGCCACCTAAGCAGAACTTTGGAGAGCCAGCAAGATGCAGTTTGTGCCTCCATCTAGGGCAGCTACCACTACTGGGAGAGAGGAGCTGCTTCTTGCAAGTGGCTCCTTCCTGCTGGGATCGGTGGCAGCAGGACCAAGCAGGAAGAACACTTAGTGCACCCTCCTCTAGAGGAGAACAAGCGCGACACAGTAAGGCTTTCCCTAGGCCATGCTGCTGCTGAACTATTTCAGTGCTGGCTGGGAGTGCTGCTGCAGCTGATCTCAGGGCACCACTGCTTGTGAGGTCTACTTAGGAGTCAAAGTGAGGGCTGTCAGCCATCCGTGCTCCCCTTCATGTTCCTGCTGAGACACCTGCAAGAGAACCAAGGGAGGAGGAGGGACTTCAGGACTCCTGCTGTGCCCGGTCATTTGTCTGGTACATCAGGAGAGCTTGGAGAAGCAGCAGCATGGGGTGGGTTGTAAGCCACCATTTGCTTGAACTGCCTTGCCAACCTGCCCCGGGAGGTTTAAATGCATGAAGCACTGAAAAGTGACACCCCATTCTGCCACTTCCACATTTGGTCACCTTATTTGACTGTGAATGTAGACCTCTCGACTCGGCAGGCCAGGCGCAAATGAAGGCAATGGTCTCTTGTCTCGTGAGCCTGACCATAGTGCCTTCCTCTGCTTTAAAAAAGTTCAGATCTGCTATCACATTCTTGGGGTGGTAGCCATGAGGTTGGATTTTGGTTAAAATGTGCTGTGTAGTTTGGTGCTTTAGCTTAGAATTCTGCACTGAGCTTTATTTGCCCCTTCAGGCTCTACTATTTGATGGTCCTGTGAAATGGGAAGCTTTTCTTTATGTTTTCCTGAGTGTAAGTTTATCTAGCAGGTGTTTCCATCATACCTGTGAAATAAAAACAGAATGTGTGCATTCTTGGCATCTTCCTTCAAAAAGTGGAGAATCATGGCCAATGTTGAGGGCATGGGCCAGACTGCTTCCCTCCCACAGCGGCACCAATGAGAAACATTACTGCGAAAGTAACTTCCATGCAATGGACTTACATATCTCATCCCATGTCATGCACTTCCTTCTGCATCCATTGAAAGGGCAGAGATCATACTGTCCTTGTGCTACTCTTCAGTCATCCATCTCACACATTCTTGTAGGGCCACAGGAGACAAGTCTCTGCTGCCATAGTAACACATGGAATCTCTGAACAAGTTGCTCCATTCTCATGAGTCTGTCAGCAAGGGCAAAAAGAGGGTGCCACTTTAAACTTCTGTATCATTTTATATTACAGAATGAGAAGCTGAAGCCTGGTGTTATATATTTGGGTCATATTCCAAAAGGTCTTCATGAACCACAGCTCAGAGAATACTTTAGTCAGTTTGGGACAGTCACAAGGCTTCGACTTTCAAGGAGTAAAAAGGTAATGCTTTGAATTGTTGGATTTCCTAATACAGTGGCGCCTCAGCTCATGAACGCCTCAGTTCATGACCAAATTGGATTGTGAACAAAAATTTCATAAACATTTTGACTCAGGTCGTGAACTCCGCATTGGGTGGAGACCACGATCACGGCCATCTCCCCCCTCCCCAAGTGGGGAGATGGCTGCGATCGTACAGAGGGCAGAGGGGGGGCAGATGGCTGAGATCACGTCCATCTTTTCTGCATGAGCGCAACCGTGATCTCAGCCATCTCCCCCCCCCCCAGCATGATTGCACCTGTCTTCTCCCTGAGTGTGGCTGCAATCGCTCCCGTCCCTGCCGCCCCCCCCCCAGCGCACCGGGATGATGGGCACGATCGCGGTCATGCTGGGGGGGCAGGGAGATGGCCACGCTCGGGGTGGGTGTGGGGAGATGGCCGTGATCTTTGTTGTTCTTTGTCACTTTGCTTCACATTTTTCTGACTAAAAAAGAAATAGTTACAGAACGGATTAACCTTATTTACATTGAACCTTATGGGGAAATTTAACTTGGCTCATGACCAATTTGGGTCACGACCAGAGTCCTGGAACGGATTAAGTTTGTGAGCCAAGGTGTCACTGTACTTTGAAGGCAGTGTTTTTAATTGATATTTATTCATAGGCTTACTCCACTTCAAAGTTGTATTTGGTTCCTTTCCATATATTTTTCAAGCTCTAGTTAGTTAATTTGCTTATGCTGGCTTTCAGGGTTGTCTTCATGAATGCAGTGTAGGCTGCAATTGTATCTTCGGTACCCGTAAGCCTCTGAACACCCCGCCTTGCTCACCTCTCCTTTGCATTTCTGCATTTTGTTGTGCTAAAACCTGACATTACAATGGAATTCATTGGCACTGTTATCACCTGCCGCACACACTACCCTCAACACTGGGAAGTGCAAACTATTTTTATTGTGGCACAAACGTTAAGTAAACACAGCCAAAGAAGTACTTGTGGGTTGCATAAGTAAGTGTTCACCACCCACCCCAGTCAATAGTTTGTGGAAGCTTTCTTGGCTGCAATTAACCTCTGTGAGTTTTGTAGGGCAAGTCCCTATCAGCATTGCATATCCTTCAACAACAACAACAACAAAATTCAGTTCTACATTTTTCTTTAACAGACCGGAGGCAGTAAAGGTTATGCATTTCTGGAATTTGAGTGTGATGAGGTTGCTAAGATCGTCGCAGACACCATGAACAACTATCTCTTTGGTGAACGACTTCTGAAATGTGAGTGCACAAGTGTTGGTTGCTGAAGTGGAAGCTTGAATATGACAGTTCCACAGCAACTCCTCTTATTTCTCAGGATTGGCTGTGCTGCTTAGGGATGGTGGGACTTGCAGTCTACTAACATCAGTAAAGGGCATGGGTTGCCCACTTCTGCTCCAGAATTCAAGTCCAGAATTGGGATTGTTTAGTACTTTGGAAATTCTCTCCAGAGATTTGCTCAGACTTTGCTCCTTTTCAGATGTTTTAATTGTCTCCCCTTTTCCTAGTCTCTGCTTTCCATTCAGTACTTGCATGTGCCTTTTCTAGCATATCTGCATTAAGGTCTGAGCTATAGTAATGTTCCCAAGAATATTGCTTGCTTGGGAGTCTAAGCCAAACTCTCAGTGGCATAAAATTGCTTACTGCATAGTAGGACTTTATTTCCTATGCTTGACACACTTGTGTGTTAGAATGCAGCAAATGCACCTATAGCAGTGTGTTGGACACCTTCTGTAATATAGTGTATTGAATTTGCCATCAAAGTGCACTCCTGTAATCGGGGTATACACGTTCTACAAAGCAGTGTATCCATTTTTCATGGCTTCACATACATTTTTATGGTATCGTTCCAACAGGCCAGTTTATGCCACCTGAAAAAGTGCATGACAATCTCTTCAAAGGCTGTGACAAAGTATTCAGGAAGCCATCCTATCCAGCAGTGAAGCGCTATAATCGGAGGCGAACAACCAAAGAGAAAGCTAAGATGACACAGCGATTGTTGAAGAAGGAAAGGCTGCTACGGAAAAGACTGGCAGAAAAGGGAATAGATTACGATTTTCCTGGCTTTGTAAGTTATTGTCCTCTTTTCTGGGTGATATTCGGGAGGAGCAAGAGGAAAAATGAGATACAGATTTGGTTATCAAGTCATACACTATGTGCAACTTAAATGCCTTAAAAAGGAACTAAGATATATGCCTTAATAAGGAATTAAGTCACTGAAGGGTCATTTCACATGCCAGATGGAGGCCAGCCTCTGTACCATGTGTATTGTCAACGGCTTCCCCAAGGGTTAGGAATGTGATGCATGACTGGCTGGGACATGCTGGGAGTTGTAGTTTTTTCCTTCTAAACTTGAATAGAATTGCTTCCTTAGTGTTACTATTTTAAATCTGGTTGTCCAGAAAGGCAAGATGCAAAGGGACTGTGTTAATGCTAAAACACTCTTTCCATAGGCTGCTCAGATACCTCTAACAAAGATGAAGAAGCTTTCACAATCAGACTCCAGCATGAATGTGTCTGTGAGCAGTGAGGTAAGGTTTAGGTTGTTGATTTCCTGGAAAGGTACTAGTAGGAAAAGGTCTAGGTTTTGATGCTTTCTGAAATATTGTTATTACCCATCTGGGTGCCCGAGAGAATGATGCATTGTGGAAAGGGGTGTCTATATAGGAGCAATATTATCTAGATTAATGGATTGGGTATTAAAGTGTTAAATATTTTGTGTATAGGATGGGGTATAAATGTTTTAATTAATTAAATTTGTTTGAGTGAATGGTCTTCAGGAGGTCTTGTAGGAAGGTCCACTTAAAGTGACACCTTGGTATAATTTTTGTACCTTGACTGCATTCATGAGTCACTGTTACTGTGACTTCAGCAAACCTGCTTATCTCACTTCATTTTATTATAGTGTTCCCTTCGTCCTCTTCCTGCTCCTCCATCCCTAGATTTTAGGTCTCACTCTTATTGATTTATTGATGCTGATAAATGGAACTCTGTATTGTAATTTTACCATTAACAATTCTCCTAATGGCAATTCTCTGCCTAGAAAATAATTGAAAATGGGCCACTGAACTCTATCCTGAGTTGTCAGAATAGGAGCAAGTGAGGTACTTTTCCAATTGCAACTATACCAATTTTTTTCTTAGTAATTATTTCAGCTTCTTGTACCTACATCTTAATAATTAGGAGCAATCCTGCATATTTTATTTATTTTATTTATACTTCCATCTATATGCCGCCTACTACCAAAGTCTCAAGAGTGTCATGTTTATTCGTCCTGTCCAGGATCTTACTCCAGTGTGTACACCAACAGTGCTTGAACGCAGAAAATCTGAGCCAGAAGACAATGAAGACAAAGAAATAAGTTTCAAACTACCACCTGCAAGTAAAAAGATTGCTGGGCGAAAAGCCAAAACAGCAAAGTTGCAGAGAAAAACAACTGGCAAGAAACAGAAAATTAAAACTTAAGCATTCCTTTACCCAAAGACACTTTGAACATTTTGGATTTTCCAGCAGCTCTGCTTTTTCAAGAGGGAAAGTCTTACGAGGTTTCACTACACGGTTACCATCACTTTGCTATCAAATACGTATCTCATCAGAAAACAAGCCACAATTCCAGTACTGCAAGAAGAACTATTTTTGAGGGCTGTCACTTTGGAAGTATTTTTGCCTTATACAAAAAAAGCTGAATTGTGCTACAGATGTCTTCAGAAAAAAGTTGCGCAATGAGTAAACCTGATCGTGGAATAGGATGTTGCAACACAGAATGTTGTGGAATTCTTAATCTTTTCTTTAGCTATAACTTAAATTCAAAATAAATTTTAAATGAACATGGACTATTGGTGTTATTGAATACAGTAGTGGCAACCCTTCATGTGTGTCACAAATCAGATTTAAAGTGTTTGATTAATGGTAGTTCTAGTGTGCATTGCAGTACGAAAGCAGCTCTGCTTTCAGTCATGCCTGCCATCGTGTTTGATGAGCTTAGGTGCAGGCTGCAGCACCATGTTAGGCGTTCAGGCATAGTCTCCTCCCAATCCAGCTGTCTCACTAAGCCCTGCTGCAGGCAGGGGGAGCCACTGGCACATAGAAAACTATGCTTCCTGTGTGAGCCATCTCCCTCCCCAAAGTCCCACTAAAAAGGTAAAGGTGAAGGTTTCCCCTTGACTTTAAGTCCAGTCATGTCTGACTCTAGGGGGCAGTGCTCATCTCCATTTCCTAGCCGAGGCCACTTAGGCATGACTAAACACCGAAGTGCACGGAACGCTGTTACCTTCCCACCAAAGTGCTCCCTTTTCATCTACTTGCATTTGCATGCTTTGGAACTGCAAGGTTGACAGGAGCTGGGATGGAGCAACGGGAGCTCACCCTGTTGTGCAGATTTGAACTGGTGACCTTTCGATCAGCCCAGCAGCACAGCTGTTTAAACCACTGTGCCACCTGCTTGCAGGCTAATGAGGAGAAGAATCCCCTCTGTTACCCCGACCCACTGACAGCAGGGGCCATGAGTGACTCATGAGAGTTTCATTGAGTAGGGTCACTTTGGTGCACATGGAGAGACCAAGGATGCAGTGAAGCCACCTCAGTTCCTTAATTCCGTCACCTTCTGATGGAAGCATGAAGGGGACTGAGCTGGTTTGCTCTTCTGTTGCCTGGGCTTTCCGCAGCTTCGGGAAGCCTAGTGGGGCAGGGCTTCTCCACCTGGACGCGCCCCCGACATCCAGCTCACAGGCCGGTCTGGCAGGTAACCCAGATCCCCACTCCATCCTGCTATTTAGGGCTGTGCCACAATTTGCCACGTGTGGCTTAGTACTCAAAACAGAGAAATTCATTAACAAATGTTACAAAGTACCCCTTTCAACGTCTTTTTTGTTTGGTCCCTCGTTAACATTTGTAAATCACAGATCTTGCTCCTTGTTTTCTGATTTTAGTGTTAGACTTCCCATTTAAAGCCAGATGGAAGGAAAAATTAAAAGTTTTGGTAATTTTTAATTTCTGTCTAGAGATACCATTTCAGAAAGGCAGGGGAAGCTTCAGGATAGCTTGTAGTTTGGCTGCTACTATCTCCTCCCCACCCCTAAAGCAACCCCTTTCTTCATCTCTGTGGTTGCTTTTCCAACCGTGGAGCCATTGCTGCAGTTTTTCTGGCTCCAGCCACAGGTGGTGGGGACTGAAGCAGCAATTCTGAGGCTGGAGCGCTGTCCTAAAACCTCAGCACGGTTTTGGAGCTATCTTGTAGGGGGGAGGGGAGCAATTAGGTAAATGAATCAGTCACAGACTCTGACCAACCCTACCTCACAGGGTTGTTCTAGGGATAAGATTTAGAACAGGAAGAGGAGAATGATATAAGCTGCTTTGAGTTTGCTTTAAGAAAAAGGGATATAAATCCAATAAATACTTCTTTGACGGGTAGGCAACCTGATGCATGCCTGATCATTGACTGCAACTCCTATCAGCCCCAGCCAACATGGCCAGTGGTAAAAATGTGTGGAATTGGAAACATCTGAATGGAATCGGATTGTTCACCCCTAATCCCAAGTCTTATGAGGCAACTTCAAAGAGACCTTTTTCTGGCCTCTATATCTTAGGATTTCTCAGTTGAGGAAGGACCTTCCCCCCCCCCCCACATTAGAAGCAACTTCGTTTTGATTCCCCACCACCACCTGTCACATTCTCGATAAAGCTCAGTCAGGCAGAAAAGGACAGGGAAAATAAATCTTTGCACTATTTTTCTCTCCTGTTTGATCTTTTAAGACAGCTTTTTCTGGCTTTTCTAAAATTTTGGCTCATCACCAACACCTGGATTTCTTCATTATAGAATAGAAGCTTTTCTTTGTATTCCACTCTCTTCTTCCCCCTCTCTCCAGGTTTTCCCCTCCGTGCAGCATCGCTTTATTTACTTGTTTACATAGATGCATTCCCAGTGCTTGTATACTGTGCTATACCTAGGCAAAGAGCCACAACGGTGAACAGTAAAAATCTAAAAAAGAGAAAAGATTAAAAACAGGATTACATTAAAACCATAACTAGTCAGCAGAAAAAGCTTCCTGGAGCAAGGATGTCTTCAGCAGTTGCCAAAAGCTGCATGCTGTTGATGTCTGCCTGGCCTCCAGGAGCAGGGAGTTCAAGAGAATGGGGCTACCACCCTGAAGGCCCTTCTCCAGGTGGGCTCCAGTCAGGCCAGAGTTCTGCGCAAGAACACAATCAGAATATCCTCCGATGCCCACAGTGATCAGGTCCCCAAAACACCTTTTCTTTCCACCTTTAGGTCTCAGGATCCCAAATCCCCGAAACATTTAAACATGGAACCAAGATTTAGGTTGGATGCCAGGAAGTACTTCCTGATGGTTAGGACCCCAAGGGTATGGAATGGGCTTCCACGGGAGGTGGTTGAAGCCTCAATGGTGAGGGTGTTTAAGGACAGGCTGGACATGCACATGGTAGGCATGTCATGAGTGGAGCTGGCTGGAGGCAGGGGTCAGACTAGATGGCCCAGGAGCCCCCTCCTGACTCGCTCTGTTTCTATGTTTCTATATTAAAGGGTTACTTGATCTATTTGTGACAATTTTTTTCAGAGGAAAGAAAAAGACACACTAACTATAAACTTTGACTGGAATTCATGCTTTGATTAAACCTAAAATATTGCAAAAAAGCATTTTTTTAAAAAATATGAATTAATAAGAAGTGGCAGAGTTGTACATAATGATGTGTGAAGAGAAGAGGCTGGTTTGGGGTTATAAATGTTTGTGCACTCCATAATTCACCTTCAACACTAGGGAGCAGGTTTCTGCAGTAGCTCAAAAGACAGGACTTTCTCCTGCTGTCATGAATGGAGCTTCTGCTCTCAAACTTGGAGGTTGAAGCAACAACAGACCCACAAGAAGAAACTGGAAAAAAGAACTGGTTTCTGTGTGAGAGAGAAAGAAAAAATGAAAATAATTTTGGAAGGTAGGAATGGATTGCTCAGGTTGCAGTCCTAAGCGTGTAATCATGAGATCTGCTCATGATTACACACTTGACAAATCCAATACAAGTGACAAATCCAACATATGGCCTTTTTCGGTAGCAGTAACATCCCTATATCTATAGCCCTAAATCTTTTTTACTGCAAAAACCTGACAAAGTTGGTTCATTTCTGAATAGAAAGCACCGTTTTTACTTCCCCCAAGATGCGGAAACTTTTGGAGTGATAATTCCTTGGAATGAATCATGATGGGTTAAGTGTGAGAGCAGCGGGTCCAACAGCTCCCACAAAACTCTTGCCTGCTTGGCCCTTCCAAAAAATAAATATAATAGTAGTTTGAAGAAAACCCTTGGTAAATCTTAGGGCCCTCTTCTTTCTTCGCTCTTCTAGCTAGCCACTAACCTTACCCTTTCTTTTCCTCCTATCCAACTTGCCTTGCTATTTCTCCCTGCCAGGTCCTAACCTTTTTTTAATTAGCTTCTGGTTCATTAACCAGCCTCTCCATAGCAGCCCTTATGTGACTAGCCGCTTCCTCTGAAGCTGCCATTTTGTGGAGGGGCCCACAGCAGTTTCTCACATGCCTGCCGACAAGATTGGAGGACCCTGGTTAAGTGTATAATTTCAAAGTAGATGGTCTATGTGAGTCAAGGCAATCTTTTCCTTTTGTGTTGGAAAAGAAACATCTGCAATCCTAAAAGTCTTTGCCCCTCCCCACAGTCCTTTTAATTTTCAGTTTCAGGGCACCCCCACCCTTAGTGCAGGAATGGCTACAAATTTAAAGGCTCCAGGCATCCTGGGTGAGTCACACTGGCTGTTGGCTCCACCATGACCTTTGTCTAGACAGCTGTTTTGGGTGACCTAGATTGAGTGCGAGGGAGGGAAGGAGGGAGGCTGGATGCTGATAGGAACTGGCATGCATCCTCAACTCTAGCCTCTTGCCTTTCCCGCTCCTGGCATGTCCTGTTTTCTCCTCTCCAAGGCCATTTGTGTCTGGAAACTGTTTTTAGGGTGGGAATCCATTGGACTATCTCTCCGGACTCTGGTCCAACTTGATGCAGCCATGGGTCTGAGTTCCTGGAAGCACAGCCTGTGTTTGAGCTGTGCTCACCGGGAATAAAACCCCATGCGAACAGTGCACAAGCAGTGTTCCTCTTCTGCCCCATATGGTTGCTGTTGCATGCGAGGTGGAAGAAGGTTCCTAGTCACACAGCCTTCACTCTGCAAGCATCTGCAGACTTTCTCTTGGCTCAGTTTGCTTTCTAAGAGTAGGGTGAACAAGTCTGTCAACACTAAGGGACAGATTCTATGGAGCTTCAAAGGAAGCCTATGTTAGAGTCCCAGCTCTGGGAGCACAGGGCCCTGCATATGGCACTCTGAAAAATCCTATGGACTCCCCAGCAACATTGGGAAGCCATAGGATAGTGCTCCAGTTGATAGGTATAATAAGTTCAAGGGAGAGGGGGTCATTTTTCTCCTAAGAGTAAATACTCTCTGATCACATGAAGCCTATCCCTCATCAGCTGACATGGCAAGTCTTTTTTCTTCTTCTTATTGTGAAAACATTTGCATGAGGCTGATGGAAAGAAAGCACATGAGGGTAACTTTGCCTATTCAGTAAATTACACCATTACTGAGTTTATTTTACAGCCAAAAGTAGAATGCATTAATTGGAAATGAAGATACTTGGTCACGGGGACAACAATTATTATTATGGCATTTGTGAGTTGCCCTATAGCTGGAGCTCCCATATATAATAAAATATATCAGATTTTTAGAATAAATTTTAGAATAAAATATAAATAAAAGTGATGTAATAAAAGCTTGCATAATAGAAACAAATGCCAATAATAAAGCAGACAAAAATAACTGAAC